TCTCTCTTGTTATATTGGCTCTGCTGGCTCACTGTGTGACACTACAGTCTCTCTTGTTATATTGGCCCTGCTGGCTCACTGTGTGACGCTACAGTCTCTCTTGTTATATTAGCTCTGCTGGCTCACTGTGTGTCCGTGATGGTATCATGGATATAAACAGCTCTGTTCTGTTTAGTCCTACTGAACTGGATGCCAGGTGCTGCCTGGGGTCTAGGCACCTACCTCATATGTCATCACTACAGATCACTGTGATCTGATTCTCTAGCGTCAGTCTAGCTACCTCTGAAAGCTCGGTTCTTAAGCCGGAAAGACATGGAAGCTGTGTGTTCTGAAGTGGAGGAGCTCCTTTTGATGTTGTTGCCAGGTGCGCACACACACAAACACACACACACACACACACACACACACACACACACACACACACACAGAGAGAGAGAAATAGAGCAGAAAGATTGGACTGGGAGGAGCAGCCTAGCTACAGTGTAATCAGTCAGGAATGAGACCTCTCTTTAAGAAAAACAGACATTTCCTACTAGCTATAAATAGTCACTGTGAGAAATAGTATTTATGTTCTAGGAACACCGCTTTCTTCCTTCCTGGAACACTACAGTTATATGGAGGGGAACCAACTGCCTTCAGATCTGGGTTGAAATAAGATTTGTTTTCTTTCAAATAACTCTGCTGCACTTGACTACGCTTTCCTGGTGCAATAGAATAGTCACAAAAGTGCAAACCCCTTACCCCACCCATCTAGCACACAATGCCAGGTTCAATCAAATGCTAAAGGTGAAAAAGACTCTGAGCACTGAGATGCGGTGTCACACACACCCGGATATTGTGCAGAGCCAGCAGAAAAAAACTAAGGACCACCCAGAAACATCTGCTCATCAGATAAACACTTGAAACATCACAGTGTACTTGAAACATCATAGTGTACTTGAAACATCATAGTGTACTTGAAACATCATAGTGTACTTGAAACATCTAAGTGTACTTGAAACATCTAAGTGTACTTGAAACATCATAGTGTACTTGAAACATCTAAGTGTACTTGAAACATCTATGTGTACTTGAAACATCATAGTGTACTTGAAACGTCATAGTGTACTTGAAACATCTAAGTGTACTTGAAACATCTAAGTGTACTTGAAACATCTAAGTGTACTTGAAACATCATAGTGTACTTGAAACATCCATAGTGTACTTGAAACATCCATAGTGTACTTGAAACATCTAAGTGTACTTGAAACATCTAAGTGTACTTGAAACATCTAAGTGTACTTGAAACATCTAAGTGTACTTGAAACATCATAGTGTACTTGAAACATCATAGTGTACTTGAAACATCCATAGTGTACTTGAAACATCCATAGTGTACTTGAAACATCTAAGTGTACTTGAAACATCTAAGTGTACTTGAAACATCTAAGTGTACTTGAAACATCATAGTGTACTTGAAACATCATAGTGTACTTGAAACATCATAGTGTACTTTAAACATCATAGTGTACTTGAAACATCATAGTGTACTTTAAACATCTAAGTGTACTTTTCAGCGGCAGGGTCTGGGAAACTAGTCAGGATCGAGGGAAAGATGAACGGACCAAATTACAGCGAGATCCTTGATGAAAACCTCCAGCGCGCTCAGGACCTCAGACTGGGGCGAAGGTTCACCTTCCAACAGGACAACGACCCTAAGCACACAGCCAAGACAACGCAGGAGTGGCTTCGGGACAAATCTCTGAATGTCCTTGAGTGGCCCAGCCAGAGCCCGGACTTGAACCCGATTGAACATCTCTGGAGAGACCTGAAAATTGCTGTGCAGCGACGCTCCCCATCCAACCTGACAGAGCTTGAGAGGATCTGCAGAGAAGAATGGGAGAAACTCCCCAAATACAGGTGTGCCACGCTTGTAGCGTCATACCGAAGAATACTCGAGGCTGTAATCGCTGCCAAAGGTGCTTCAACAAAGTACTGAGTAAAGGGTCTGAATACTTATGTAAATGTGATATTTCAATATATATATATATATATATTTTTTTTTTTTTTTTTTTTTCTTTGTTATTATGGGGTATTGTGTGTAGATTGATGAGGGGAAAAAACAATTTAATCAATTTTAGAATAAGGCTTTTCTTGTGGCAACAGGTCACAAATCTTGCAGCTGTGATGGGACACTGTGGTTTTTCACCCAGTAGATAAGGGAGTTTATAAAAATTGGGTTTGTTTTCAAATTCTTTGTGGATCGCTGTAATCTGAGGGAAATATGTGTCTCTAATATGGTCATACATTTGGCAGGAGGTTAGGAAGTGCAGCTCAGTTTCCACCTCATTTTGTGGGCAGTGTGCACATAGCCTGTCTTCTCTTGAGAGCCAGGTCTGCCTACGGCGGCCTTTCTCAATAGCAAGGCTATGCTCACTGAGTCTGTACATAGTCAAAGCTTTCCTTAAGTTTGGGTCAGTCACAGTGGTCAGGTATTCTGCCACTGTGTACTCTCTGTTTAGGGCCAAATAGCATTCTAGTTTGCTCTGTTTATTTGTTTGTTCTTTCCAATGTGTCAAGTAATTCTCTTTTTGTTTTCTCATGATTTGGTTGGGTCTAATTGTGTTGTTGTTGTTGTTGTTGTTGTCCTGGGGCTGTGTGGGGTCTGTTTGTGTTTGTGAACAGAGCCCCAGGACAAGCTTACTTAGGGGACTCTTCTCCAAGTTCATCTCTCTGTATGTGATGGCTTTGTTATGGAAGGTTTGGGAATCGCTTCCTTTTAAGTGGTTATAGAATTTAACGTCTCTTTTCTGGATTTTGATAATTAGCGGGTATTGGCCTAATTCTGCTCTGCATGTATTATTTGGTGTTTTACGTTGTACACGGAGGATGTTTTTGCAGAATTCTGCATGCAGAGTCTCAATTTGGTGTTTGTCCCATTTTGTGAATTCTTGGTTGGTGAGCGGACACCAGACCTCAGAACCATAAAGGGCAATGGGTTCTATAACTGATTCAAGTATTTTTAGCCAGATCCTAATTGGTATGTCAAATTTTATGTTCCTTTTGATGGCATAGAAGGCCCTTCTTGCCTTGTCTCTCAGATCGTTCACAGCTTTGTGGAAGTTGCCTGTGGCACTGATGTTTAGGCCGAGGTATGTATAGTTTTTTGTGTGCTCTAGGGCAACGGTGTCTAGATGGAATTTGTATTTGTGGTCCTGGCAACTGGACCTTTTTTGGAACACCATTATTTTTGTCTTACTGAGATTTACTGTCAGGGCCCAGGTCTGACAGAATCTGTGCAGAAGATCTAGGTGCTGCTGTAGGCCCTCCTTGGTTGGTGACAGAAGCACCAGATAATCAGCAAACAGAAGACATTTGACTTCAGATTCTAGTAGGGTGAGGCCGGGTGCTGCAGACTGTTCTAGTGCCCTCGCCAATTAATTGATATATATGTTGAAGAGGGTGGGGCTTAAACTGCATCCCTGTCTCACCCCACGGCCCTGTGGAAAGAAATGTGTGTGTTTTTTACCAATCTTAACCGCACACTTGTTGTTTGTGTACATGGATTTTATAATGTCGTATGTTTTTCCCCCAACCCCACTTTCCATCAATTTGTATAGCAGACCCTCATGCCAAATTGAGTCAAAAGCTTTTTTGAAATCAACAAAGCATGAGAAGACTTTGCCTTTGTTTTGGTTTGTTTGTTTGTCAATTAGGGTGTGCAGGGTGAATACGTGGTCTGTCGTACGGTAATTTGGTAAAAAGCCAATTTGACATTTGCTCAGTACATTGTTTTCACTGAGGAAATGAACTAGTCTGCTGTTAATGATAATGCAGAGGATTTTCCCAAGGTTGCTGTTGACGCATATCCCACGGTAGTTATTGGGGTCAAATTTGTCTCCACTTTTGTGGATTGGGGTGATCAGTCCTTGGTTCCAAATATTGGGGAAGATGCCAGAGCTAAGGATGATGTTAAAGAGTTTAAGTATAGCTAATTGAAATTTGTGGTCTGTATATTTTATCATTTCATTGAGGATACCATCAACACCACAGGACTTTTTGGGTTGGAGGGTTTGTATTTTGTCCTGTAGTTCATTCAATGTAATTGGAGAATCCAGTGGGTTCTGGTAGTCTTTAATAGTTGATTCTAAGATTTGCATTTGATCATGTATATTTTTTTGCTGTTTGTTCTCTGTTATAGGGCCAAAAAGGTTGGAGAAAAGTGGTTTACCCATACATCTCCGTTTTGGATAGATAGCTCTTCGTGTTGTTGTTTGTTTAGTGTTTTCCAATTTTCCCAGAAGTGGTTAGAGTCTATGGATTCTTCAATTACATTGAGCTGATTTCTGACATGCTGTTCCTTCTTTTTCCGTAGTGTATTTCTGTATTGTTTTAGTGATTCACCATAGTGAAGGCGTAGGCTCTCTATCTCTCTCTCTATCTCTCTCTATCTCTCTCTCTCTCTCTCTCTCTATCTCTCTCTCTCTATCTCTATCTCTATCTCTATCTCTATCTCTATCTCTATCTCTATCTCTATCTCTCTGTGTCTGTGTCTCTGTCTGGAAGGTTATCCAGAGGAGGGTCAGTTATCAGAGTAATCAACCAGACAGTGTTTCTCCAGCCTCAGTCTGAGCTCTGACCAGACCAGCCTCTCTGTTGACTCTTCTGTTTGTCTGGTATTGAATATTAATAGCTTGGTGGCAGCAACACAGCACTTCCAGCTTCCTAATTATCTTCTCTACTTCGCGCGTGTGTGTGTCGTGGGAGCCAAGGTACTGTCAGAGAGACTGCCTGTACCTCTCAAAGGCTCGCTCCACTTTTAATAAGGTGTGTGATGTCACAAAGCATGACACACCTGCCCAGTATGTAGAGGCTTTAAAAGCTCGGCGAAGCGACAGACTCCTCATTGACTGATCTCTGTCTCCCCCTCTCTCTCTCTCTCTCTCTCTCTCTCTCTCTCTTCTCTCATTCTCTCCGTTTTACAGCCTAAAATGCCCCAGCTGGTGACCTCTGACATGTAAATGGCGTCCAAAGTGCGAGATGCTGTGGTGTGGTACCAGAAGAAGGTAAGAATCCTATTTTTTCTGTTATATTTACCTGGTTTGATTGTTTGATTCCTTCCATCTGGATCCAGTGCCTATTTTACCTCAGTAGAACGGAGGAAGAGGAATGAAGAGCGGGAAAATAAACACTATATCCTTCTGTTGACAGACAGGGAGACTGAAGGACTGTTGGTGGTTTTGATAGGTTTACCTGCTGTTGACAGACAGGGAGACTGACAGACAGTTGGTGGTTTTGATAGGTTTACTTGCTGTTTCATTTTGAGTTTAGACCAGTGTCATTTTATGACCGTTTGACTAACTGAGTTTTTGCTGTAGGCTATGTGACGAAGCAACACTCAGTAAGCCTGTCCTCATGCTGAGGTCTGTGTCTGTGGCCAGCACTGATGTAACAGATCCCTGTAACTGGACGGACAGACACAGACAGACAGACGGAGGCTATTATTAATGTTGTCGTGTACCTCTCTGTGTCCTGCCTGCGTCCTTCACTGGCTGACCTGACTGCTCAATACCGTCTACATTACATCATAGATTACAGTCAGGATGTCTATATGATGAAAACACGACCGCTTTTATTCAGGTCAAGAAACAAGCCTGAAGATTTGGGGGTTGGCTACTTTTCTATTAGTGTTTAGTTGATTGATACAATAATATACTAAATATTTATATGCATAACTTCTTCTATTTAGGCTAGATGGTTAAGGTATGTTATTGTCTGTTACTAGTTGGGGGGCCAGTATGAAAAAAATTATAAAAAAATGTATGCACTAACTGTAAGTCGCTCTGGATAAGAGCGTCTGCTAAATGACTAAAATGTAAATGTAAATGTAGTTAGGGATAAAAATGGGAAGGCCTATGAGTCTATTGGTCTTTTTCAATGAAGAAAGAGCCAAGCATTATTAACCTGGTGGTGTTACGACACCCTAATGTCTCCACTGTCTGCCTCCCCGTAGAGGACTATCATGAAGACTATTCTGAGCAGGGCTGCTAGTGTTGATTCAGAGGAGGTAGTGTTGATTCAAAGCTGGTAGTTCTGATTCAGAGCTGGTAGTGTTGATTCAGAGCTGGTAGTGTTGATTCAGAGCTGGTAGTGTTGATTCAGAGCTGGTAGTTCTGATTCAGAGGAGGTAGTTCTGATTCAGAGCAGGTAGTTCTGATTCAGAGGAGGGCTGTATGTTCATGTCATAACAGGTTCTGCTAACAGCTAGCAGGGTTGAGTCATTCCCATTAAAACACAATAGGAGCTGTTTGGACCTGGCTGGCTAAATGACTGTCTGTTTCTCTCTTTCATTCTCTGCTGGTCTCTCTCTCTCTCTCTCTCTCTCTCTCTCTCTCTCTCTCTCTCTCTCTCTCGTTCTATGTCTCTATCGATCTCTCTACCTCTGTGTCTCTGTCTTTCTCCTTACTTCTCTCCATCAGTCTCTTTCTATCGATTTCTCTTCTCCATCTCTCTTCATTTCTCTCTCTCTCTCTCCCTTCCTACTCGCTCTCTCTCTCTCTCTCTCCCTCCCTACTCGCTCTCTCTCTCTCTCTCTCTCTCCCTCCCTACTCGCTCTCTCTCTCGCTCTCGCTCTCTGTCTCTCTCTGCTGAGTCTCTGTCTCTCTCTATTGTGGCTTAATGCCCTTTATAACGAGACGTTTCATTGCAAGTTTCACTTCCCTCACTGTGGAGAGGTTTATGGGAAAAGGACAGCTCCTACGAGAGCGGCTCATAGGAGCAGGAGCATATCTCCTGTTTCTGTAGCTGACACTGCTTGATACAGGTACACCCCCTGGACAGGACGCTAGTCTGTTCCAATACCATAGGCCTATATCTTAATCTTGTGTTTGCTTTGCTCCTGCATAGCTACTTTAAGCTTCAAAAGAAGCTAGCACTCTTGGCATTGAATGTCTTGAAAACATGCTTATAATCTTTTCCGTTAGTTGGCACTTGGCAGTGCCAACCAGCTTCACCTGGAATGCTATTCCAACAGTCTTGAAAGAGTTCCCACATATGCTGAGCACTTCTTGGCTGCTTTTCCTTCACTCTGCGGTCCAACTCATCCCAAACCATCTCAATTGGGTTGAGGTCGGGTGATTGTGGAGGCCAGGTCATCTGATGCAGCATTCCATCACTCTCCTTCTTGGTAAAATAACCCTTACACAGCCTGGAGGTGTGTTTGGTCAGTGTCCTGTTGACAAACAAATGATAGTCCCACTAAGCGCAAACCAGATGGGATGGCGTATCGCTGCAGAATGCTGTGGTAGCCATGCTGGTTAAGTGTGCCTTGAATTCTAAATAAATCACTGACAGTGTCAACAGCAAAGCACCCCCACACCATCACACCTCTTCCTCCATGCTTCATGGTGGGAACCACACATGCAGAGATCATCCGTTCACCTACTCTGCGTCTCACAAAGACACAGCGTTTGGAACCAAAAATCTCAAATATGGACTCATCAGACTAAAGGACAGATTTCCACCAATCTAATGTCCATTGTTCGTGTTTCTTATCCCAAGCAATTCTCTTATTCTTATTAGTGTCCTTTAGTAGTGGTTCCTTTGTATAATTCGATCACGAAGGCCTGATTCACGCAGTCCCCTCTGAACAGTTGATGTTGAGATGTGTATGTGTACTTGAACTCTGTGAAGCATTTATTTGGGCTGCAATTTCTGAGGCTGGTAACTGCAGCAGAGGTAACTCTGGGTCTTCCTTTCCTGTGGTGGTCCTCATGACAGCCAGTTTCATCATAGCACTTGATGGTTTTTGCGACTGCACTTGAAGAAACTTTCAAAGTTCTTGACATTTTCCAGATTGCCTGACCTTCATGTCTTAAAGTAATGATGGACTGTCGTTTCTCTTTGCTTATTTGAGCTGTTCTTTCCATAATATGGACTTGGTCTTTTACCAGATAGGGCTATCTTCTCTATACCTTGTCACAACACAACTGATTGGCTCAAACACATTAAGAAATTCCACAAATTAACTTTTAACAAGGCACATCGGTTAATTGAAATGCATTCCAGGTGACTACCTCATGAAGCTGGTTGAGAGAATGCCAAGAGTGTGCAAAGTCAACAATAGACCTACACCTGTATGAGGTGTGATGGAGAAAACTGGTGTCCACCCGTCTCTCATATAGGTGCAGAATGGTGTTGCATTGCAACACATCTGAAATGATGTGTTTGGGTGTAGGCTGTTTGGTTGTGCTATTGTAGACCGATGTTGAGACTGAGAGACTGAAGGTCACAGTTTTAGAAAAATACCCTTGTTGATTCTGTTCTGTTCCATATCCTGTTTTAACCACCCTTAGATTGGTAGAATCTAGAATGTGTCACTGTGAGCTCTTAGTCCTAAAACGTGTGTTTGTGACCACAGCACTGTAAGATGTGTGTGTGTGTGTGTGTGTGCTGCGGTGTTTAGTAAGGTGTCACTTCCTCTCTCCATACCAGATGTGTTCCAGCTGAGCCTCTCTCCATACCAGATGTGTCAGTGTTCCAGCTGAGTCTCTCCATACCAGATGTGTCAGTGTTCCAGCTGAGCCTTTCTCCATACCAGATGTGTCAGTGTTCCAGCTGAGCCTTTCCCATACCAGATGTGTCAGTGTTCCAGCTGAGTCTCTCCATACCAGATGTGTCAGTGTTCCAGCTGAGTCTCTCTCCATACCAGATGTGTCAGTGTTCCAGCTGAGTCTCTCCATACCAGATGTGTCAGTGTTCCAGCTGAGCCTTTCTCCATACCAGATGTGTCAGTGTTCCAGCTGAGCCTTTCTCCATACCAGATGTGTCAGTGTTCCAGCTGAGTCTCTCCATACCAGATGTGTCAGTGTTCCAGCTGAGTCTCTCCATACCAGATGTGTCTGTGTTCCAGCTGAGCATTTATCCATACCAGATGTGTCAGTGTTCCAGCTGAGTCTCTCCATACCAGATGTGTCAGTGTTCCAGCTGAGTCTCTCCATACCAGATGTGTCTGTGTTCCAGCTGAGTCTCAAAACAGGCACAAAACAGACCTTTTATTGTGGATGGAAAATGTTTTACCTCAGACGTAAAGCACTGCAGGGTGTAGTCAGCTAGGGTGTGACTGACAACTCAGAAGTACTCAGATCCTTTACCAGTATTTTGTTGAAGCACCTTTGGCAGCGATTACAGCCTGGAGCCTTCTTGGGTATGACGCTACAAGCTTGGCACACCTGTATTTGGGGAGTTTCTCGCATTCTTCTCTGCAGATCCTCTCATGCTTTTGTCAGGTTGGATAGGGAGCGTCACTCCACAGCTATTTTCAGGTCTCTCCAGAGATGTTCAATCGGGTTCAAGTCCGGGCTCTGGCTGGGCCACTCATGGACATTGAGACTTGTCCCGAAGCCACTCCTGCGTTGTCTTGGCTGTGTGCTTAGGGTCATTGTCTGTTGGAAGGTGAACCTTCGCCCCAGTCTGAGCTCCTGTGCGCCCTGGAGCAGGTTTTCATCAAGGATCTCTCTGTCCTTTGCTCCGTTCATCTTTCCCTCGATCCTGACTAGTTTCACAGTCCCTGCCGCTGAAAAACATCCCCACAACATGATGCTGCCACCACCATGCGTCACTGTAGGAATGGTGCCAGGTTTCTTCCAGACGTGACGCTTGGCATTCAGGCCAAAGAGTTCAATCTTGGTTTCATCAGACCAGAGAATCTTGTTTCTCATGGTCTGAGAGTCCTTTAGGTGCCTTTTGGCAAACTCCAAGCGGGCTGTCATGTGCCTTTTACTGAGGAGTGGCTTCCATCTGGCCATTCTACCATAAAGGCCTGATTGGTGGAGTGCTGCATAGATGGTTGTCCTTCTGGAAGGTTCTCCCATCTCCACAGAGGAACTCTGGAGCTCTGTCAGTGTGACCAATGGTTTCTTGGTCACCTCCCTGACCAAGGCCCTTCTCCCCCGATTGCTCAGTTTGGCCGGGCGGCCAGCTCTAGGAAGAGTCTTGGTGGTTCCAAACTTCTCCCATTTAAGAATGATGGAGGCCACTGCGTTCTTGGGGACCTTCAATGCTTCAGAAATTTCATGGTACCCTTCCTCAGATCTGTTGCTCGACACAATCCTGTCTAAGAGCTCTACGGATAATTCCTTCAACCTCATGGCTTGGTTTTTGCTCTGACATGCAGTGTCAACTGTGGGAGCCTATATAGACAGGTGTGTGCCTTTCCAAATCATATCCAATCAATTGAATTTACCACAGGTGGACTCCAATCAAATTGTAGAAACATCTCAAGGATGATCAATGGAAACAGGATGCACCTGATCTCAATTTAGAGTCTCATAGCAAAGGGTCTGAATACTTATGTAAATAAGGTATTTCTGTTTTTTTATTTTAATACATTTGCTAAAATGTCTAAAAACCTGTTTTTGCTTTGTCATTATGGGGTATTGTGTGTAGATTGATAAGGAACAACATTAATTTAATCCATTTTAGAATAAGGCTGTATCGTAACAAAATGTGGAAAAAGTCAAGGGGTCTGAATACTTTCCGAATGCACTGTAGCTAGACCTCCCTGGACTTGCCCCTAACCGCATATCTAGCATCAGATTACCTGGCGTTCCCTGTCTTAAACTGAACCATTAGAAACTAACTTAACCACAGATCTAGGATCAGGTTTGCCCAATGTTGTCTTAACCATTAGAAACTAATTTAACCACAGATCTAGGATCAGGTTTGCCCAATCTTAACCTTAACCATTAGAGAGATGTCCTCGTTCTCAGGTGAGGGTGTGGCTCTGTTGTAGACGCCCTTCACAGCTGAACCACCACACTGTTTTGTGTTACCGTAGCAACAGAGAAAGGCTGACGTGGATATTGTTGTTGTTCGTCACCTGTCTTTGAGTTCAGTGAGAGAGAGGTGTCTTATCCATTTGAGTTAGCGTTGATTGACTCTAATGTGTTGACATGAACTGTGTTGCCAAATAGATCTCAACAATGACTTCACAGCCCAGATTAACAAAACCTTCTAAAGAAGAAATGTCTTCTTTACTTCAGTTTTTTTCTTAACTATAGACTTATGAAGAGAGTTAAGTAAAGTAGCTATTCCTCAAAAAGGTTCTTGGAAATGGTTGTACGGTATTTCTTATACCTCTCCTTAAGAGAAAATGTTGAGAAGAAATTGGATTCTTGAAAATATAGTTATTCTATTAGTTCTTGTTTTGTAATCTTCAGTGGAATCACATCACTATGGTTACACGAGCTTACTGTGTACCTCAACTCAGAGTAGTAGTGACATGCTGACATCAAAGAGGTTGTCTCCATCACAACACAGCAGCTGCTGTCAGTCAATTCCCCTTTGTTAGAAAAAAGGTGAGAAAATCCCAACAAAAACAGTACTACCTTGTTACCTGAGAGACGTCGTTGAGGCATTATCCAAAATAACAATGTAGCCCTTGATTTATTGTTTGTGTTCATGGAATGTGCCTTGTCTTAGTAGGTGGAGAGAGAAGGAACATAACTAGTTTTAAGTGTGTGTGTGTGTGTGTGTGTGTGTGTGTCCTGTAGTGATAGAGGGACAGGCTTTCATTGTGCTGTAGAACAGAACATAATGCTATCTCTCTCAGAGGAGGGAAAGGGGGATACCTAGTCAGTTGCGCAACTGAATCCATTCAATCAAAATGAGTCTTCTGCATTTAAGAACACAGAGGTGCTGGGTGAGAGCATCTTTAATAAGTCACAATGGACTACAGCACTCTAACACAAACACACACACACACACACACACACACACACACACACACACACTGGACTGTCTCGTTGACTTTACTAAGGACGAATTCCCACTGTCTGACAAATGTACATTTACATTTACGTCATTTAGCAGACGCTCTTATCCAGAGCGACTTACAAATTGGTGCATTCACCTTATGATAGCCACTTTATAAATGTTGTTTTTAATTTTTATTATTATTATTTTATATATTTTGTGTGGGGGGGGGGGGTAGAAGGATTACTTTTATACTATCCCAGGTATTCCTTAAAGAGATAGGGTTTCAAGTGTCTCCGGAAGGTGGTCAGTGACTCCGCTGTCCTGGCGTCGTGAGGGAGCTTGTTCCACCATTGGGGTGCCAGAGCAGCGAACAGTTTTGACTGGGCTGAGCGGGAACTGTGCTTCCGCAGAGGTAGGGGAACCAGCAGGCCAGAGGTGGAAGAACGCAATGTCCTCGTTTGGGTGTAGGGACTGATCAGAGCCTGAAGGTAAGGAGGTGCCGTTCCCCTCACAGCTCCATAGGCAAGCATCATGGTCTTGTAGCAGATGCAAGCTTCAACTGGAAGCCAGTGGAGTGTGCGGAGGAGCAGGGTGACGTGAGAGAACCTGGGAAGGTTGAACACCAGACGGGCTGCAGCGTTCTGGAATGAGTTGTAGGGGTTTAATGGCACAGGCAGGGAGCCCAGCCAACAGTGAGTTGAAGTAATCCAGACGGGAGATGACAAGTGCCTGGATTAGGACCTGTGCCGCTTCCTGTGTAAGGTAGGGTCGTACTCTGCGAATGTTGTAGAGCATGAACCTACAGGATCGGGTCACCGCTTTGATGTTAGCAGAGAACGACAGGGTGTTGTCCAGGGTCACGCCAAGGTTCTTTGCACTCTGGGAGGAGGACACAATGGAGTTGTCAACTGTGATGGCAAGATCATGGAGCGGGCAGCCCTTCCCTGGGAGGAAGAGCAGCTCCGTCTTGCCGAGGTTCAGCTTGAGGTGATGATCTGACATCCACACTGATATGTCTGCCAGACATGCAGAGATGCGATTCGCCACCTGGTTATCAGAAGGGGGCAGGGGCGGTGTGTTCATTAGGGCGATATGGGCGATGCACTGCCAAACGGGAAAAGGAAGGGATTTTTTTTCTAATCAATTATATCACGGCAACAGTAGTTATCAGTATTCTAATCTAGACGTCTGATCTGCCACTAAATGTCCAATCAGGCTAAAGTCGTGCTTCAAATGCAACTCGATTGTCTCTTTGAAAGAAGTTCCTTTTTGTCGGCGAACAAATCAAGATAAATTGGCAACGAAACAATTAGGACCTCCCAGACCAAATTTAATAATTCAACAGGTTTCTACTAAAGGGGGAAAGTCCTACACCCGAGGATTTTCCAAAAATTGGTACGAACGAAAAACCTGGCTAGCAGGCTGTGATGTAGCTAATGCAGTCTTCTGCTACCCCTGCTTACTCTTTCACCCTGAAGGCGGCACGGCAGACAGCACCGCTTGGACAGCGACTGGTGTAACGGACATGCACCATCTTTCAGAAAAGATTAAGAAACATGAGCTGTCAAAGACCCACATGGATAGCTGTTTGAGATTGTCTGCTTTGGGGAGAGTGAACATTGCCACTCAACTGGATGAGGGATACAGGCTAGCTGTCCGCCGCCACAACGATGAGGTTAGCAAGAACCGCCACATCCTCAGCCGGCTAATCCAGTGTGTGAAGTTTTGCGGAGTGTTTGAGTTAGCTTTGCGAGGCAAAGATGAAACTGAGGGCTCCACCAACCCTGGTATTTTTCATGGACTTGTCAACTTTGTGGCACAATTAGATGAGGTGTTTTATGGAAATGCATATTGTTTATGTAGTGTTGAGGAATGTGAAAGAACACCCTTGATTATTTTTACTGTGATAACTTATTTTGCTTTTGTAAGCCAACACTTTTGAGATCAGTCAATAAATGCTTCTGGTATTGACTTATATGCTACCCCTGTCTTCATGTTGTTGCTGGACATATCTTTTTTAAAATGTGTGTAGGTCACCTAAATCATCAGAAAAATTGCCCCCCCTGAGAATTTTTTCAGGAGCCGCCACTGGAAGGGGGAAAGGAGAATATTAACTGTGTGTCGTCTGCGTAGCAATGATAGGAGAGACCATGTGAGGATATGACAGAGCCAAGTGACTTGGTGTATAGAGAGAATAGGAGAGGGCCTAGAACTGAGCCCTGGGGGACACCAGTGGTGAGAGCACGTGGTGCGGAGACAGATTCTCGCCACGCCACCTGGTAAGAGCGACCTGTCATGTAGGACTCAATCCAAGAGTGAGCCGCGCCGGAGATGCCCAACTCGGAGAGGGTGGAGAGGAGGATCTGATGGTTCACAGTATCAAAGGCAGCAGATAGGTCTAGAAGGATGAGAACAGAGGAGAGAGAGTTAGCTTTAGCAGTGCGGAGAGCCTCCGTGACACAGAGAAGAGCAGTCTCAGTTTAATGACCAGTCTTGAAACCTGACTGGTTTGGATCAAGAAGGTCATTCTGTGAGAGATAGCAAGAGAGTTGGCTATAGACAGCACGCTCAAGAGTTTTGGAGAGAAAAGAATGAAGGGATACTGGTCTGTAGTTGTTGACATTGGAGGGATCGAGTGTAGGTTTTTTGAGGAGGGGTGCAACTCTTTCGCTTTCTTGAAGATGGAAGGGACATAGCCAGCGGACAAGGATGAGTTGATGAGCGAGGTGAGGTAAGCGAGAAGGTCTCCGGAAATGTCTGGAGAAGAGAGGAGGGGATAGGGTCAAGCGGGCAGGTTGTTGGGCGGCCGGCCGTCACAAGTCGCAAGATTTCATCTGGAGAGAGAGGGGAGAAAGAAGTCAAAGCATAGGGTAGGGCAGTGTGAGCAGGACCAGCGGTGTCATTTGACTTAATAAATGAGGATCGGATGTCGTCAACCTTCTTTTCAAAATGGTTGACGAAGTCATCCACAGAGAGGGAGGAGGGAGGGGGAGGAGGAGGAGGATTCAGCAGGGAGGAGAAGGTGGCAAAGAGCTTCCTAGGGTTAGAGGCAGAGGCTTGAAATTTAGAGTGGTAGAAAGTGGCTTTAGCAGCAGAAAGATGGAAAGATGACAGGTCCGCAGGGAGTCTAGTTTTCTTCAATTTCCGCTCAGCTGCCCGGAGCCCTGTTCTGTGAGCTCGCAATGAATCGTCAAGCCACGGAGCAGGAGGGGAGGACCGAGCCGGCCGGGAGGATAGGGGACATAGAGAGTCAAAAGATTCAGAGAAGGAGGAGAGGAGGGTTGAGGAGGCAGAATCAGGAGATTGGAGGGAGAAGGATTTAGCAGAGGGAAGAGATGATAGGATGGAAGAGGAGAGAGTAGCGGGAGAGAGAGAGAGAGCGAAGGTTGCGACGGCACATTACCATCTGAGTAGGTGCAGAGTGAGTAGTGTTGGAGGAGAGCGAGAGAGAAAAGGATACGAAGTAGTGGTCGGAGACATGGAGGGGAGTTGCAGTGAGATTAGTAGTAAAGATGAGGTCAAGCGTATTGTCTGCCTTGTGAGTAGGGGGGGGACGGTGTGAGGGTGAGGTCAAAAGAGGAAAGGAGTGGAAAGAAGGAGGCAGAGAGAAATTAGTCAAAGGCAGACGTAGGGAGGTTAAAGTCACCCAGAACTGTGAGGGGTGAGCCATCCTCAGGAAAGGAACTTATCAAGGCGTCAAGCTCATTGATGAACTCTCCAAGGGAACCTGGAGGGCGATAAATGACAAGGATGTTAAGCTTGAATGGGCTAGTGACAGCATGGAATTCAAATGAGGCGATAGACAGATGGGTCAGGGGGAAAAGAGAGAATGTCCACTTGGGAGAGATGAGGATTCCTATGCCACCGCCGCGCTGACCAGATGCTCTCGGGGTATGCGAGAACACATGATCAGACGAGGAAAGAGCAGTAGGAGTAGCAGTGTTTTCTGTGGTAATCCATGTTTCCGTCAGCGCCAAGAAGTCGAGGGACTGGAGAGTGGCATAGGCTGAGATTAACTCTGCCTTGTTGCCGCAGAACAGCAGTTCCAGAGGCTACTGGAGACCTGGAACTCCACGTGGGTCGTGCGCGCAGGGACCACCAGATTAGAGTGGCAGCAGCCACGCCGTTTGAAGCGTTTGTATGGCCTGTGCGGAGAGGAGAGAACAGGGATAGACAGACACATAGTTGACAGGCTACAGAAAAGGCTACAATAATGCAAAGGAGATCGGAATGAAATTAACTAAGCATCTGGGAAAGCGAGAGAGCGGGGCCTCCCTCACGTTTCACTGAAACACTCAAATATAACTCTCCCAACTTCCACTTTAGATTAATAGACTTTAGTTAGTGTCTGGTCTGTTAGCGATGTTACCAAACAGACTAGTTCTGTCTCTTACCTCTAGTTAGTGTCTGGTCTATTAGCGATGTTACCAAACAGACTAGTTCTGTCTCTTGCCTCTAGTTAGTGTCTGGTCTATTAGCGATGTTACCAAACAGACTAGTTCTGTCTCTTGCCTCTAGTTAGTGTCTGGTCTATTAGCGATGTTACCAAACAGACTAGTTCTGTCTCTTACCTCTAGTTAGTGTCTGGTCTATTAGCGATGTTACCAAACAGACTAGTTCTGTCTCTTACCTCTAGTTAGTGTCTGGTCTATTACACATAACTGCAATGAGGACTTGTTGTCATTTAGGAAAATCTCTTATGTTAGAAAACCAATTCCATTGAGTGAATACACTTTTTTGATTCAGAAATGTCTATGTTAAGATTGACATTTTTGTTCATGCATTCAATAAAAATGGATTACATTCTTTGGGAAAAATCACGACACTCAACTATTACCTGGTATGTTAAGTTAATGGTGATTATATTATACGGTGCTCTGCAGAGATGTCTGGCTGTCTATAACAACTCTGCAGAGAAACATCACTGCCTCGGCTAATAAAAAAGTGGTCAGATGACGCAGATGCTAAGCTACAGGACTGTTTTGCTAGCACAGACTGGAACATGTTCCGGGATTCTTCAGACAACATTGAGGAGTACACCACATCAGTCACTGGCTTCATCAATAAGTGCATCGATGATGTCGTCCCCACAGTGACCGTACGTACATACCCCAACCAGAAGCCATGGATTACAGGAAACATCCGCACTGAGCTAAAGGGTAGAGCTGCCGCTTTCAAGGAACGGGACTCTAACCCGGACGCTTATAAGAAATCCCGCTATGACCTCCGACGAACCATCAAACAGGCAAAGAGTCAATACAGGTCTAAGATTGAATCATACTACACTGGCTCTGACGCTCGTCGGATGTGGCAGGGCTTGAAAACTATTACAGACTACAAAGGGAAGCACAGCCGCGAGCTGCCCAGTGACACAAGCCTACCAGACGAGCTAAACCACTTCTATGCTCGCTTCGAGGCAAGCAACACTGAAGCATGCATGAGAGCACCAGCTGTTCCGGACGACTATGTGATCACGCTCTCCGTAGCCGATGTGAGTAAGACTTTTAAGCAGGTCAACATTCACAAGGCCGCAGGCCCAGACGGATTACCAGGACGTGTACTCCGAGCATGTGCTGACCAACTGGCAAGTGTCTTCACTGACATTTTCAACATGTCCCTGACTGAGTCTGTAATACCAACATGTTTCAAGCAGACCACCATAGTCCCCGTGCCCAAGAACTCTAAGATAACCTGCCTAAATGACTACCGACCCGTGGCACTGACGTCTGTAGCCATGAAGTGCTTTGAAAGACTGGTCATGGCTCACATCAACAGCATAATCCCAGAAACCCTAGACCCACTCCAATTTGCATACCGCCCCAACAGATCCACAGATGATGCAATCTCTATCGCACTCCACACTGCCCTTTCCCACCTGGACAAGAGGAACACCTACGTGAGAATGCTATTCATTGACTACAGCTCAGCATTCAACACCATAGTGCCCTCAAAGCTCATCACTAAGCTAAGGATCCTGGGACTAAACACCTCCCTCTGCAACTGGATCCTGGACTTCCTGACGGGCCGCCCCCAGGTGGTAAGGGTAGGTAACAACACATCTGCCACACTGATCCTCAACACGGGGGCCCCTCAGGGGTGCGTGCTCAGTCCCCTCCTGTACTCTCTGTTCACCCATGACTGCATGGCCAGGCACGACTCCAACACCATCATTAAGTTTGCCGACGACACAACAGTGGTAGGCCTGATCACCGACAACGATGAGACAGCCTATAGGGAGGAGGTCAGAGATCTGGCCGTGTGGTGCCAGGACAACAACCTCTCCCTCAATGTGACCAAGACAAAGGAGATGATTGTGGACTACAGGAAAAAAAAGAGGACTGAGCACGCCCCCATTCTCATCGACGGGGCTGTAGTGGAACAGGTTGAGAGCTTCAAGTTCCTTGGTGTCCACATCACCAACGAACTATCATGGTCCAAACACACCAAGACAGTCGTGAAGAGGGCACGACAAAGCCTATTCCCCCTCAGGAGACTAAAAAGATTTGGCATGGGTCCTCAGATCCTCAAAAAATTCTACAGCTGCACCATCGAGAGCATCCTGACTGGTTGCATCACCGCCTGGTATGGCAACTGCTTGGCCTCTGACCGCAAGGCACTACAGAGGGTAGTGCGTACGGCCCAGTACATCACAGGGGCAAAGCTCCCTGCCATCCAGGACCTCTATACCAGGCGGTGTCAGAGGAAGGCCCTCAAAATTGTCAAAGACTCCAGTCACCCTAGTCATAGACTGTTCTCTCTGCTACCGCACGGCAAGCGGTACCGGAGTGCCAAGTCTAGGTCCAAAAGACTTCTCAACAGCTTCTACCCCCAAGCCATAAGACTCCTGAACAGCTAATCATGGCTACCCGGACTATTTGCACTGCCCCCCCACCCCATACTGTTTACGCTGCTGCTACTCTGTTAAGTATTTATGCATAGTCACTTTAACTCTACCCACATGTACATATTACCTCAACTACCTCAACTAGCCGGTGCCCCCGCACATTGACTATGCAACGGTACCCCCCTGTATATATAGCCTCCCTACTGTCACTTTATTCTATTGTGTATATATAGCCTCCCTACTGTCACTTTATTTTTACTTCTGCTCTTTTTTTCTCAACACTTTTTTTGTTGTTGTTTTATTCTTACTTTTTTTGTTTAAAATAAATGCACTGTTGGTTAAGGGCTGTAAGTAAGCATTTCACTGTAATGTCTGCACCTGTTGTATTCGGCGCATGTGACCAATAAAATTTGATTTGATTTGATTTGATTTGGTGTCCTTGGCTGAGCATGAGAAGCTGAACTGACAAACACTACACCTGGGATATAGTAGATGCATGCATGTACGGGTATTACAAATGACAGGTTGTTAGCTGTAGCAGCAGGCTGTGTTAAATGAGACAGATGTTAGCTTTCTTAATGTATTTTCTGCCCTGAGGGAGGAGAGGAGTGGAGAGGAGAGTGGGTCCTTGTAGGTGGAGCATCAGTTCTGAGTGTGGGTCAGCAATTGGAGGTGACTGATTGTTCTTGGATCAGTGTTCAATCATCCAGCCTGTCTGTGTGTGACTGACTCTCTCTGTTTGTCTACTACATTATAATATACACACACAGAGACATCTCCCCCCTCCTCCTCCACATTATAACACACAGAGACATCTCCCCCCTCCTCCACATTATAACACACAGAGACATCTCCCCCCTCCTCCACATTATAACACACAGAGACATCTCCCCCCCCCCTCCTCCACATTATAACACACAGAGACATCTCCCCCCTCCTCCCCCCACTTTAAAAAAAAAAGACACTCCCCCCTCCTCCACATTATAACACCAGAAATCTCCCCCCCTCCTCCCATTTTTAACACATAGAGACATCTCCCCCCCCCCCCCTCCACATTTTTAAAAACAGAGAAAACCCCCCCCCCTCCTCCACATTATAACCTGAGACATTCCCCCCCCCCCCTCCCCACATTATCAACAGAGACTCTCCCCCCTCCCTCCACATTATAAACATAGAGACTCTCCCCCCCCCTCCACTTAAACACCAGAGACTCTCCCCCCCCCCCCCAAAAATTATAACAATAGAAAATCTCCCCCCCCTCCCCTTATAACACAAGACTCCCCCCCCCCCTCCTCCACTTATAACCCAAAAAAAATCTCCCCCCCCCCCCACATTATAACCACAGAGCCATCTCCCCCCCAAATTATAACACACAAGGGGCATCTCCCCCCCCCTCCTCCAATTATAACCACGAACATTCCCCCCCCTCCCCACTTATAACACACAGAGACATTCCCCCCCTCCTCCAATTTTTAACAACAGAAACCCCCCCCCTCCTCCCCACTTATAACACACAGAACATCTCCCCCTCCTCCTCCACATTATAACCACAGAGACCTCCTCCCCTCCCCACATTATAACACACAAAAACATCTCCCCCCTCCTCCTCCACATTAAACACCAGATAAAATTCCCTCCCCACATTTAAAAACCCCAAAACTCTCCCCCCCTCCCCACATTAACACATAGAGCATCCCCCCTCCTCCTCCACATTAAACACACAGGAATCTCCCCCCTCCCCCTCCCCTTTTAACCCGGAAAACTCCCCCCCCTCCTCCACATTTTAAAAACCCAGAAATCTCCCTCCTCCACTTAAAACACACAGAACATCTCCCCCCTCCCTCCACTTATAACACATAGAGACATTTTTCCCCCCTCCTCCCCACATTATAAAACCCAGAGACATTCCCCCCCTCCCCCCCATTTAAAAAAGAACCTCTCCCCTCCTCCTCCCCCATTATAACACACAGGACATCTCCTCCCCACCACATTATAACACACAGGGGCTCTCCCCCTCCCCACATTAAAACCCCAGAGACATCTCCCCCCCCCCCTCCACATTATAACCATAAGATCTCCCCCCTCTCCTCCCAAAATTTTAAAACCCGAGACTCTCCCCCCTCCTCCTCCACATTTTAAAACACAAGCCCCCCCTCCTCCTCCACATTAAACAAAGAACATCTCCCCCCCCCCCTCCCTTTTAAAAACCAGAGACCTCCCCCCCCTCCACATTTTAAAACACAAGACATTTCCCCCCCCCCCCCCCTCCACATTAAACAACAGAACATCCCCCCCCCTCCCATTCTAAACACCAAAAACATCTCCCCCCTTCTCCACTTATAAAAACCCCAGACATCTCCCCCCCTCCTCCACATTATAACACACAGAAATCTCCCCCCCCCTCCTCCACATTAAACAAAAGAGACATCTCCCCCCCTCCTCGCCACATTATAACACACAGAGACATCTCCCCCCCTCCTCCTCCACATTATAACACCACAGAGACTCTCCCCCCCCCTCCTCCACATTATAACACACAGAGACATCTCCCCCCCTCCTCCTCCACATTATAACACACAGAGACATCTCCCCCTCCTCCACATTATAACACACAGAGACATCTCCCCCCTCCTTCTCCACATTATAACACACAGAGACATCTCCCCCCCCCCCCCTCCTCCACATTATAACACCCAGAGACATCTCCCCCCTCCTCCCTCCACATTATAACACACAGAGACATCTCCCCCTCCTCCACATTATAACACACAGAGACATCTCCCCCCCCCTCCTCCACATTATAACACACAGAGACATCCCCCCCCCCCCTCCTCCTCCACATTATAACACATAGAGACATCTCCCCCCCTCCTCCACATTATAACACACAGAGACATCTCCCCCCACCCTCCCCTCCACATTATAACACACAAGACATCTCCCCCCTCCTCCTCCACATTTTTAACACACAAGGACTCTCCCCCCCCCCTCCCCAATTATAACATACAAAACATCTCCCCCCTCCCCCCCACATTTAACACCAGAGAAATTCCCCCCCCCCTTTTCCACATTTAAAACCCAGAGAACTCCCCCCCTCCTCCCCATTTTTTAAAACACAGAGACATCCCCTCCCCCTTTCCCCACATTTAAAACCAAAGACATCTCCCCCCTCCCCCTCCAATTTAACACCAGAGACACTCCCCCCCCCCTCCCCCCAAATTTCCAAACAAACCCCTTTCCCCCCTCCTCCCCACCCTTTCCCAAAAATTTCCCCCCTCCTCCCCACATTATAAACCACGAACTTCCCCCCCCCCCCCCCCAATTTACCCCCAAACTTCCCTCCTCCCCACCACAATAAAACAAGAACATCTCCCCCCCCCTCCTCCACTTTAAAACCACAAAATCTCCCCCTCCTCCCCCTTTAACCCCTTCCCCCCCCCTCCCTCCAAATTATAAACCGAGACTCCCCCCCCTCCTCCCCCCCCAAATTTTAACACACAGAACTCTCCCCCCTCCTCCACATAAACACAAGAGACCCTCTTCCCCCCCCCCTCCACCACATTAAACACACAGAGACCCTCTCCCCCCCCTCCACCCCAATATAAAAAACAGAGAAAACTCCCCCTCCTCCCCCCATTATAACACCGGGCATCTCCCCCCCCTCCCAATTATAAACAAGAACATCCCCCCCCTCCTCCAATTATAACACAAGACATCTCCCCCTCCACCCCTTATAACACCAAAAACATCTCCCCCCCCCCCCCCCACATTTTTAACCCAGAGACATTTCCCCCCCCCTCCCCACATTATAAAACACAGAACATCTCCCCCCCCCCTCCACTTATAACACACAGGACATCTCCCCCCCCCCTCCTCCCATTATAACACCAGAGACATCTCCCTCCTCCTCCACATTATAACCCAGAACATCCCCCCCCCCCCCCCCCTTTTAACACACAGAGACAATTCCCCCCCCCCCCACATTATAAAACCCCAGAGACATCTCCCCCCTCCTCCTCCACTTATAAACCCCCGAGACATCCCCCCCTCCTCCACATTTAAAACCACGAGACATCTCCCCCTCCTCCCCCATTATAACACACAGAGACTCTCCCCCCCTCCCCACATTAAACACACAGAACATCTCCCCCCTCCTCCACATTAAACCACGAACTCTCCCCCCCCCCCCCCCCCCCACATTATAAACACAAGACTCTCCCCCCCCCCCTCCAAATTATAAAAACCCGAGACTCCTCCCCCCTCCTCCTCCACATTATACCCAGGCATCTCCCCCCCCCCTCCACATTATCACCAGGACACTCCCCCCCCTCCTCCACATTTAAAAAACAAGAGACATTCCCCCCCCCTCCCCACATTAAACCACAGAGACTCTCCCCCCCCCCCTCCACATTTTTAAACCCCAAAAAATTCCCTCCCCTCCCCACATTATAAACCAGAGACATCCCCCCCCCCCCTCCAATTATAAAAACAAAGATCTCCCCCCTCCTCCACATTTTTAAACACAAACCCCCCCTCCCCCCCCCCTCCACATTATAAAACACAGAAAAAATTCCCCCCTCCCATTATAACCCCAAAAGCTAGGGGCGTGGGGAAGATTTTTACCCTGTTTTTTTAAAATTTACCCTTTCCCTTTCTTACTTTTTTTCCCAAAATTTTTCTTCCTTATCCCAAAAATTTTTCCTTCCTCCCTTTAAACCCTTTCCACATATTTCTTTTTCCTTATCCCCATATTCCCCACTCCTTTTCCCCAAATTTACCCAGTCCCTTTAAAATTATAAAACCCATCCTTCTTTATATTTTTTTAAATCCCCCCTTTTTTTTTTTACTTCTTATCCTTTTTTTTTTTTAGTCCTCTTAATATTTCCTAGTCCTCTTTATATTTCCTTTGTCCCTTTTTTACTTCCTTGTCCTTTTTAAACCCCTTTCCCAGCCTTTTTAAATTCTTTTCCAAAACCCAAGCCTTTGCCCAAACCCTTTTTCCCAAACCCAGCCCCCCCAGGCCCTTTTTAAAACCCTTTGGCCCCTTTATATTTCTTCCCTTTGTCTCTTTTATTACTTTCCTTAGCCCCCTTTTTAATTAATTTTTCCTTACCTCCCTTTTTTATTTCCTTAGTCCTCTTTAACTTACTATAGGAGATATTCCTTAAGTCCTCTTTCATATTGTTCCTTCGATGTCCCTCCTTATATTACTACTTCACTCACTTCTAAGCCTTCTTTGTTATGAAGATGTAGGTCTGTTAACCCACATAGTGATAGTAACCTATCACAGGGCAGGAGTCTTTCTCTCTCTCTCTCTCAATTCAAATGGCTTTATTGGCATGGGAAACATATGTTTAAATCGCCAAAGCAAGTGAAATAGATAATAAACAAAAGTGAAATAATCAATCAAAAATGAACATTACACTCACAAGGAATAGACACATTTCTATATACAGTGTTGTAACAATGTGCAAATAGTTAAAAGTTCAAAAGGGAAATAAATAAACATAAATATGGGTTGTATTTACAATGGTGTTTGTTCTTCACTGGTTGCCCTTTCTTGTGGCAACAGGTCACAAATCTTGCTGCTGTGATGGCACACTGGTATTTCACCCAACAGATATGGGAGTTTATAAAAATTGGATTTGTTTTGGAATTCTTTCTGGTTCTGTGTAATCTGAGGGAAATATGTGTCTCTAATATGGTCATACATTTGGCAGGAAGTTAGGAAGTGCAGCTCAGTTTCCACCTCATTTTGTGGGCAGTGTTCACATAGCCTGTCTTCTCTTGAGAGCTCTCTCTCCTCTCTCTCTCTCTCTCTCTCTCTCCTCCTCCTCTCCTCTCTCTCTCTCTCTCTCTCCTCTCCTCTCTCTCTCTTATCTCTCTCTCTCTCTCTCTCAATTCAATTTGCTTTATTGGCATTACGTAACAATGTACATATTGCCAAAGCTTACTTTGGAGATGTACAATATTAACATAATTAATAATAATAATCAATATTGTCAATGGGACAACAGTAACAACAATAACCAAGGGTCAAAATAACCATACAATTGAACATCTCTCTCTCTCTCTCTCTGCAGCTGTCTGTGAAAATGATCCTCCTCCTCCTATACCTCTCTCTTTCTCCAGCAGTAGTCTAGTCACGTTCCCACTCTGTCCTCTAGAGTCCTCACCCCCTCTCTCTTCTCATCTTCACCCCTCCTTTCCTTTTCTCTTCCTTCTGTCTCTCTCTGAAGACTCCTTGGCTGCTGCATGTTTGATGAGGTTCATGAAAGATGCAGAGTTTCCATTGGCTTGTAGGGTGACCCAATACCTGTCAATACAACATATACTAACCAGGCTAATGTAAAGACACACACACAGACACACACAGACACACAAAGCCCCGTCCTGTCCGAGCCATATCAGTAGATCTGACTGTCAGGGGGACTCTGGGGGGAAAAGGTTGTGTTTCATGTGTGACATGTCTGTTCTCCCTAAATGAACAAGAGCAGAGGAACACACACACACACACACACACACACACACTCACACACTAACACACTTACACACACACACGCTAACACACACACACACACACACACGGCTATTCTCACTAAACAAGAGCGTGGGAGAGACGCAGGAGCAGCCTACCTGACCACCTTAACCCAATCCTCCGTCCGACTGACATTAACATTTCAACACAGTATTTATCTGACACCTAAACCTTTCTCCGACCTACCTGGAAAGATCCACAGCTTACCTGATAGTTTTACCCTTCATACCAAACACCTAGATTATTGACTTAGGGTGGAGGTTTGACGTAAGGGCCTTGGGCCTTAAAATCCAATGCAAAATGTATCTGAAAGTATCTGAACCAAAATGGATGCATCTATGGGAAGATGAACAGGACTTTCTCATGCCATATTTAGTGATGGGAGAGGAAGGAATAAAAGGAAGATAGGAACACTATGATAAACAACCCCAAGCCTCACAGCTGCAAAGATAGGGTGTGTGGGTGTGTGGGGGTGGGTGTAGGAGGGGTGCTCTCTCTGGTCAAGGGCATTAGGTCTATTGTATCTTTTCCAAAACAAACATTGAGGAGACAGAGAGGAGTCACAGACCAGACGAACAACAGGTTAAAACATTGAGGAGACAGAGAGGAGTCACAGACCAGACGACCAACAGGTTAAAACATTGAGGAGACAGAGAGGAGTCACAGACCAGACGACCAAACAGGTTAAATTGAGGAGACAGAGAGGATCAAACCGATGACCAACAGGGTAAACATTTAGAGACAGAGAGGAGTCACAGACCAGACGACCAACAGGTTTAAAACATTGAGGAGACAGAGAGGAGTCACAGACCAGACGACCAACAGGTTAAAACATTGAGGAGACCAGAGAGGAGTCACAGACCAGACGACCAACAGGTTAAAACATTGAGGAGACAGAGAGGAGTCACAGACTGGACGACCAACAGGTTAAAAAAACATTGAGGAGACAAGAGGAAGTCACAGACCAGACGACACCAGGTTAAAACATTGAGGAGACAGAGAGGAGTCACAGACCAGACGACCAACAGGTTAAAACATTGAGGAGACAGAGAGGAGTCACAGACCAGACGACCAACAGGTTAAAACATTGAGGAGACAGAGAGGAGTCACAGACCAGACGACCAACAGGTTAAAACATTGAGGAGACAGAGAGGAGTCACAGACCAGACGACCAACAGGTTAAAACATTGAGGAGGACAAGAGGAGTCACAGACCAGACGACCAACAGGTTAAAACATTGAGGAGACAGAGAGGAGTCACAGACCAGACGACCAACAGGTTAAACATTGAGGAGACAGAGAGGAGTCACAGACCAGACGACCAACAGGTTAAAACATTGAGGAGACAGAGAGGAGTCACAGACCAGACGACCAACAGGTTAAAACATTGAGGAGACAGAGAGGAGTCACAGACCAGACGACCAACAGGTTAAAACATTAAGGAGACAGAGAGGAGTCACAGACAGACGACCAACAGGTTAAAAAAAAGAGCGAAGTTAAAATAAGAAGGTTCTAGTTGTGGTGGGAACAGGGAAGCACTGTGTACTGTATCTCTCTCTCGCTCTCCCTCGCTTTCTCTCTCTCGCTCTCTCTCTGTCTCTCACTTTCTCTCTCTCCCTCTCTCTGGCTTTCTCTCTCTCTCTCTCTCTGGCTTTCTCTCTGTCTCTTGCATTCTCTCTTTCCCCCTCTCACTCCCCCCCCCTTCCCCCGCCTCTCTCTCTCTCACGTATGCTGCATGTTTAATTAGTGTGATTGTGTCCTCTATCCTGTCTGGTCATAGGTTTCTGCTACAAGGTTGCATTGTGTATGACACTCCTTTATAAAGGTCAATGGAGTCTGAATAGGGATTTGATACGCTCAAGTTCTCATATAAAACTGTGCATAGTGCGCATGCACAACACATGCACAACACATGCACACGCACGACAATCATTGCCAGGGTTGAAGAGTGGGTTAGTGGTTTTTTGAGACCTAGTTGACCATCCAGTCCATACAGAGTGAATGTGAAGTGAATGCACCACTACCCAGGTCTCAGATCATACATAATGAACACAGGAGATTAGACCCAGCAAATACACACACCGTCTCAGAGCTGTGCTATTGTTGAGCTCATTCACCTTGCATGGTCTCCCACATGATGGGCACACACTGTATTGCCAGGCTAGTATCAACCTCTGTGATCTCTAAGGATGGCTGACCCTGACAGTGTTGTGGTTTATAGTTTGGTCATCTTACAGTGTTGTGGTTCATGGTTCAGTCAACTGACAGTGTTGTGGTTCATGGTTCAGTCAACTGACAGTGTTGTGGTTCATGGTTGGGTCAATTGACAGTGTTGTGGTTCATTGTTGGGTCAATTGACAGTGTTATGGTTCATGGTTGGGTCAACTGACAGTGTTGGGGTGCATGGTTGGTCAACTGACAGCAGCATGGATGTTGGTCCGGTCAACTGACAGCAACATGGATGTTGGTTCGGTCAACTGACAGCAACATGGTTGTTGGTTCGGTCAACTGACAGCAACATGGTTGTTGGTTCGGTCAACTGACAGCAACATGGTTGTTGATTCGGTCAACTCACAGCAACATGGTTGTAGGAATGGTTGGCTCAATGGTTGTGACATGACTGATAGGATGACAGGAGGTTGTTGTTGGATGGACTGCAGTTAAACCACCACTTTACATTTACGTCATTTAGCAGACGCTCTTATCCAGAGCGACTTACAAATTGGACTTAAACTGGTTTCAGAAGCTCCTGGGTTGAATCAATGCTTAACTTGTAGAGAGATAGCTGAATGTTCATCTTTATAATTCACCAGGAGTAGTTCACTCAGTAACAATTGCCACTGTTTTCCAGGGAGTCCTGGGATTATATATCTTTATCCTAATGTGTAAATGTATTGTTTAATATATTGTTGAATATATAGTCTGAATATATTATTGAATACATTGACTGGGAAATGTACTAATCAATGTTTTGTTATTTGTCTGTTTCAGATTGGTGCTTATGACCAACAGATTTGGGAGAAGTCTGTTGAACAAAGAGAAATCAAGGTAACCTTTTTGATTTAGGTCCAATCATAACACTTTTTGTCAATCATCTTTTGCAAACTTCATCAAATATTTAGACCCCTTTTATCTTTCTCTACCCTTTTCTGGAACATTGTATGAGTGTCTTCTGTCGGTCTGTCTGGCTCACTGTCGCTCTCTTTCTCTGTCTGGCTCACTGTCGCTCTCTTTCTCTGTCTGGCTCTCTGTCGCTCTCTTTCTCTGTCGCTCTCTTTCTCTGTCTGGCTCTCTTTCTCTGTCTCTCTGTCTCTCTCTCTCTCTCTCTCTCTCTCTCTCTCTCTCTCTCTCTCTCTCTCTCTGTCTCTGTCTCTGTCTCTGTCTCTGTCTCTGTCTATGTCTCTTTCTCTCTCTGTCTGTCAGTTTCTGACTGTGCCATCAGTGCCGTCATATTTTCAGTTGACTTCTTCCCCTCTTGCTGGTGCCGTTTGTCTTTCTCTGTCTGTCCATCACTCCTAAATGTGCAGTTTATTAGACTGGTGAGTACTGCAGCACAGGAAGTCAGATTGAAATCAGACACTAGATTGTGATTGGCTGAGTTGGTTTGTTTCTATGTTTATTCCTGGCCTGCTTCTTAACCACTGACTGACTGGCTGACTAGCTGGCTGACTGACTGGCTGACTGACTGGCTGACTAGCTGGCTGACTGACTGGCTGACTGACTGGCTGACTAGCTGGCTGACTGACTGGCTGACTAGCTGGCTGACTGACTGGCTGACTGACTGGCTGACTAGCTGGCTGACTGACTGGCTGACTAGCTGGCTGACTGACTGGCTGACTAGCTGGCTGACTGACTGGCTGACTAGCTGGCTGACTGACTGGCTGATTGGCACACAACTTTGTTTGAAAGAGACGTTTACATAATATGGTAATGCCAATCAACTTCATGTGTTTTCAGTGTTTCCCTTGGAATTTTTTCAACAGTTGTGGCAAAATTAGCATGGGAGTGGGTCAGTGGGTGTGGCCAATGGCGCGGCTTCTGACTGAAAATTGTAGAGGTCTTCCTCTTGGCCGCAGAGACAAAATGTTGCGGTTTTAAAGCTAATTTCCTGCCATTGTACACATTTTGCCATGGACGGAGAGAAAATGTTACATTTTAAAGCTAGTTTTCTGCAATTCTACACATTTTGGCATGGGGCTGAGGGAACAAATTCTTTTTTAAAGCTAATTTCCTGCAATTGTACACATTTTGCCATGGCTTTATGCCATGTTCTCATGCTATCTGAGTGACTCAAACACAAAAGCTATGCCATGCCATGCCATTTTAAATTTTTTAGATTCTCCATGACTGTCTAGTTTTTATTATGGTGATTGTTAATATGATCTTATTTTAAAATATATAACTCCGTTATATTTTCTACATACTTTAAACAAATGTTGGCGGCAACGATTTAGAAGCGGCAGCCCGCCACTGCTAAATTAGTGATAGGGGAAACACTGGTTTTATTTCACTACAGATGAAAGTAAAATCATAAAAACGTCATAGTAACATGAACATATAATAACATGATGTAATTATTTACTGTCTGTAATGGTCTGTGACCTGCACAGAGAGCAGAGAATCCCACCAAGTGGACCCACCGTAATCAGAGGACTGAAACAGCTGTTTCACCTGCCTGCTTCAGTTCATGACCTTTCGCCTCTAGACCCCTCTTTCATCCCTCACTCCTTCTAGAAAGAGAACAAAGCATCGCCCTTCATCACCCGTCCCCTCATATCGGCTTGAGCTCACAGACAGAATGTAAACAGACACTCTCCATTTAATGATCTCAAAGTCTCAAACACACAGTGGCTTCCCATCCGTCAGACTAGATTTTATAACAGTTTCATGTAAACGGTCCCTCTGGGTTTCGACCTGTAGTTTACCAACCACTGGCCCATCTTTAGCATCCAACAGGGCAGACGTGGGCCAGTTACTGTGTCTGCAGCTTTGTGTGCATGAACAACTGACAAGGGCTCACACATGCCATAAGAAAGTAGCTTTGACAACATTGCCAAGCATATAGTCTAAATATGTATTTTTGTACTGAGATAAAACACGACAGGAAAGGCTTATTCATGCCCCCTGGTGGTAGTGATGATGAATTACAGTAGGTTTCTCTTATCTTATCTCACAAGCAAAACATTCCTTTAAAGACGAATAGAAAAGAGATTTATATAGATAGAGCAATATAGATAACTAGTCAGAGTAATGTATTTGAAAAGCAGTTAAGGTAGGTTTAACTCCTAGGTAGAGACAGAACCCACTCCTTTTAGTTGAGGTAGGTTTAACTCCTAGGTAGAGACAGAACCCACTCCTTTTAGTTGAGGTAGGTTTAACTCCTAGGTAGAGACAGAACCCACTCCTTTTAGTTGAGGTAGGTTTAACTCCTAGGTAGAGACAGACACCACTCCTTTTAGTTGAGGTAGGTTTAACTCCTAGGTAGAGACAGAACCCACTCCTTTTAGTTGAGGTAGGTTTAACTCCTAGGTAGAGACAGAACCCACTCCTTTTAGTTGAGGTAGGTTTAACTCCTAGGTAGAGACACACCACTCTTTTCTTTCCCTGTTCCAGTCCTGTCGGTCTATAAAACAGTTTATAGCAGTAATAAAGAGGAAGAGGAAGCTATCGATCGTCTTGTCTAATCATCATTTACACACACACACACACACACACACACACACACACACACACACACACACACACACACACACACACCTAGAGAGTGTCAACTCATTGCCTGGTGCTTTAAGATAAGGTCTTTGATTAAGTTCCTGTATTGCTGTATACAGAGAGAGAAGGTCACCATTTGACCTTTGGGTAAATATTAGCATGTGAGAGTCTGTTAGGATAGACAGTATTATACTACAGGGATGTGTTCAGTAGGGCACACTGTAGCAAAACATTTAGCAACAGAACATGAAAATACTTCTAGGTCATGTTCATTAGGACATGCAACAGAAAACATTTTACAACAGAAAATGAATATACAGGGTTTCTTATTGGTAAAGTCCAGGTAGTCCCTCCCTGTTTCAGTGTTTTTTCTTCTGTTTGGTACCTAATGAACAGAGCCCAGTCTCCCATAACCTAGGGAGGAGATTTACTCTAGTACATGCACGGTTCATCCGTTAATTATATACAGTAAGTCTATGGGGCCATCAGGGTCTGAATATATCCATGCACTGTAAATAAGGCCTCTGTCTGTCAGTCAGCCACTTGTAATTGAACAGAGCAACACAATAGCTTCATGGTGTTGACTCCATTGGTGCAGACCGATAGTGAACTGGTCACATGTAGGACACAGTGTGTGTGTGTTAATGTATTAGTGGAATGCGTTTTGATCCAGCAAGGCCTCAACGTCATGTAGTTTGTCCTGTGTTCGGTGTGTTTGGCACGGCGTGCTGCACCCACTGTGTGAGGATCTATCATGTAGTGCCCTATATGGCTAGTAGGGTTTCATATGTCTGTGAGTGCACCAAAGGTTACATTCTAACTTAAGATGTGCGTGCATAACTCAAAATTCTGCACAAACATCCTGTGGATTGTTTACAGAGTTACCCACGCATATCTGAACTTACAATCTGGCCCTTAGAGAATGTATGTCTGTCTGTGTCTGTGTGTCTGTCTGTCTGTCTCTGTCTGTGTGTCTGTCTCTGTGTCTCTGTGTCTGTGTGTCTGTCTGTCTGTCTGTCTCTGTGTCTCTGTCTGTCTGTCTGTCTGTCTCTGTGTCTCTGTGTGTCTGTCTGTCTCTGTGTCTCTGTCTGTCTGTCTGTCTGTCTGTCTGTCTGTCTGTCTGTCTGTCTGTCTGTCTGTCTGTCTGTCTCTCTCTCTCTCTGACCCTGTACTGCTCCTCTCCAGGGCCTGAGGAACAAGCCGAAGAAGACAGGTCATGTGAAACCAGACCTCATTGATGTGGACCTAGTGAGAGGTAAGGGTGGAGGACACAACACCAGCACTCTAACGGTTTCATTCAAAACTCAGACACCCACGTTGGCAACCATGTTGGCTTTCTGTCCCAGTCAAACCTGTTGGCGGAGCATGATAGTACTACGTTAGTGTCAATGTAGATGTGTCTCCACTGCTCACATGATGCAACCCAGGTGTAGAAGTCCAAAATGGCCACTCTATTGTTACTTTACTCTCTCTCCTTCACTTTCACTCACTCTCTCTGTTGAATTATTCAGTCCATCACATCAGACTCCTCTCTGTTTAGTTTCCACTCATTGCTTTTTAATGCCCACATCCCAGGCTGAGAGAGAGAGGGAGAGGAGAGAGAGTGAGAGGGAGAGGAGAGAGGGAGAGGAGAGAGAATTAGAGGAGAGAGGGAGAGGAGAGGGAGAGAGCGAGAGGAGAGGGAGAGGAGAGAGAGAGAGGCCGAGACTATAGAGAGGGCGAGAGGGAGAGAGGTGAGTAGGAGAGACGGGTGGATATTGCTTCGTCTCGAGGGTTTTAGCTGACTGTCTACAGGGAAAGTCCATCCCATCATCTCTCTCCGCTCTCCTCTCTCTGCTCTCTCGCTCTCTCTTTCTCTCTCTCTATCTCCTCTCAGCCTTCTCTGTCTTCGGTTACTTTCTATTTCTGGGGGGTGTGTTTCTATGTGATATAGATAGTTAGAGATATAGCTGGGTGTGTGTTTATTTCCCCTTGCCTGGCTAGATTGCTTAGCAGGGTTCGTGTTTCATTCACTAACAAATGTCCCCGGGGCCCCTTCCCATGGGGCAACTGTGCAATGCCCCAGTACTTATTAAACCAAGGGACCCACACGGGGGAAGGCACCCGTTCCTGATGGGGTCATTATGTAATGCTGAGGGATTTACCATGGGGAAGCCAGTCTCTACTGAGGAATTGTGTTTGTAACAGTAGACTTACTAATGTTGTTGTTGGTCCCGTTTATTTTCTTGTTTCCCAGGGATAGCCCCTCTTCTGGAGCCACGAAATCTGACCAGGAAGGGTCTCGTCAGGGTGGTGTTGTTCCCCTTCTTTTTCAGATGGTGGATTCAGGTCACCTCCAGAGTTATCTTCCTCCTCCTCCTCCTCCTCTACCTGCTACAAGGTACCTACTTAACCCTAACCTCCAGAGTCATCCTCCTCCTCCTCCTCTTCCTCTACCTACTACAAGGTACTTACCTAACCCTAACCTCCAGAGTCATCCTCCTCCTCCTCCTCTACCTGCTACAAGGTACCTACTTAACCCTAACCTCCAGAGTCAGACCTATATTATGAAGACCTATATTATGAAGACTTATATTATGAAGACCTATATTATGAAGACTTATATTATGAAGACATTTATTATGAAGACCTATATTATGAAGACCTATATTATGAAGACCTATATTATGAAGACCTATATTATGAAGACATTTATTATGAAGACCTATATTATGAAGACATACAGTGAGGGAAGAAAGTATTTGATCCCCTGCTGATTTTGTATGTTTGCCTACTGACAAAGACATGATCAGTCTATAATTTTAATGGTAGGTTTATTTGAACAGTGAGAGACAGAATAACAACAAAAAAATCCAGAAAAACGCATGTCAAAAATGTTATAAATTGATTTGCATTTTAATTAGGGAAATAAGTATTTGACCCCTCTGCAAAACATGACTTAGTACTTGGTGGCAAAACCCTTGTTGACAATCACAGAGGTCAGACGTTTCCTGTAGTTGGCCACCAGGTTTGCACACATCTAAGGAGGGATTTTGTTCCACTCCTCTTTGCAGATCTTCTCCAAGTCATTAAGGTTTCAAGGCTGACGTTTGGCAACTCAAACCTTTAGCTCCCTCCACAGAATTTCAATGGGATTAAGGTCTGGAGACTGGCTAGGCCACTCCAGGACCTTAATGTGCTTCTTCTTGAGCCACTCCTTTGTTGCCTTGGCCGTGTGTTTTGGGTCATTGTCATGCTGGAATACCCATCCACGACCCATTTTCAATGCTCTGGCTGAGGGAAGGAGGTTCTCACCCAAGATTTGACGGTACATGGCCCCGTCCATCGTCCCTTTGATGCGGTGAAGTTGTCCTGTCCCCTTAACAGACAAACAACCCCAAACCATAATGTTTCCACCTCCATGTTTGACGGTGGGATTGGTGTTCTTGGGGTCATAGGCAGCATTCCTCCTCCTCCAAACACGTCGAGTTGAGTTGATGCCAAAGAGCTCGATTTTGGTCTCATCTGACCACAACACTTTCACCAAGTTCTCCTCTGAATCATTCAGATGTTCATTGGCAAACTTCAGACGGCCCTGTATATGTGCTTTCTTGAGCAGGGGGACCTTGCGGGCGCTGCATGATTTCAGTCCTTCACAGCGTAGTGTGTTTTCTTGGTGACTATGGTCCCAGCTGCCTTGAGCTCATTGACAAGATCCTCCCGTGTAGTTCTGGGCTGATTCCTCACCGTTCACATGATCATTGCAACTCCACGAGGTGAGATCTTGCATGGAGCCCCAGGCCGAGGGAGATTGACAGTTATTTTGTGTTTCTTCCATTTGCGAATAATCGCACCAACTGTTGTCACCTTCTCACCAAGCTGCTTGGCGATGGTCTTGTAGCCCATTCCAGCCTTATGTAGGTCTACAATCTTGACTGTTGACTGTGCCTTTAAACAGCTTGGAAAATTCCAGGAAATGATGTCATGGCTTTAGAAGCTTCTGATAGACTAATTGACATAATTTGAGTCAATTGGAGGTCTACCTGTGGATGTATTTCAAGGCCTATCTTCAAACTCAGTGCCTCTTTGTTTGACATCATGGGAAAATCAAAAGACATCAGCCAAGACCTCAGAAAAGAAATTGTAGACCTCCACAAGTCTGGTTCATCCTTGGGAGCAATTTCCAAATGCCTGAAGGTACCACGTTCATCTGTACAAACAACAGTACGGAACTATAAACACCATGGGACCACGCAGCCGTCATACCGCTCAGGAAGAAGACGCGTTCTGTCTCCTAGAGATGAACGTACTTTGGTGCGAAAAGTGCAAATCAATCCCAGAACAACAGCAAAGGACCTTGAAGATGCTGGAGGAAACAGTTACAAAAGTATCTATATCCACAGTAAAATGAGTCCTATATCGACATAACCTGAAAGGCCGCTCAGCAAGGAAGAAGCCACTGCTCCAAAACCGCCATAAAAAAGCCAGACTACGGTTTGCAACTGCACATGGGGACAAAGATCGTACTTTTTGGAGAAATGTTCTCTGGTCTGATGAAACAAAAATAGAACTGTTTGGCCATAATGACCATCGTTATGTTTGGAGGAAAAAGGGGGTCGCTTGCAAGCCAAAGAACCCCATCCCATCCGTGAAGCATGGGGGTGACAGCATCATGCTGTGGGGGTGCTTTGCTGCAGGAGGGACTGGTGCACTTCACAAAATAGATGGCATCATGAGGAAGGAAAATGATGTGAATATATTAAAGCAACATCTCAAGACATCAGTCAGGAAGTTAAAGCTTGGTCGCAAATGAGTCTTCCAAATGGACAATGTTGTGGCAAAATGGCTTAAGGACAACAAAGTCAAGGTATTGGAGTGGCCATCACAAAGCCCTGACCTCAATCCTATAGAACATTTGTGGGCAGAACTGAAAAAGCGTGTGCGAGCAAGGAGGCCTACAAACCTGACTCAGTTACACCAGCTCTGTCAGGAGGAATGGGCCAAAATTCACCCAACTTATTGTGGGAAGCTTGTGGAAGGCTACCCGAAACATTTGACCCAAGTTAAATAATTTATTTGGCAATGCTACCAAATACTAATTGAGTGTATGTAAACTTCTGACCCACTGGGAATGTGATGAAAGAAATAAAAGCTGAAATAAATCATTCTCTCTACTATTATTCTGACATTTCACATTCTTAAAATAAAGTGGTGATCCTAACTGACCTAAGACAGGGAATATTTCCTAGGATGAAATGTCAGGAATTGTGAAAAACTGAGTTTAAATGTATTTGGCTAAGGTGTATGTAAACTTCTGACTTCAACTGTATTATGAAGACATTCATTATGAAGACATTTATTATGAAGACCTATATTCTGAAGACCTATATTCTGAAGACCTATATTCTGAAGACCTATATTCTGAAGACCTATATTCTGAAGACAGTTATTATGAAGACAGTTATTATGAAGACATTTTGGTATTCGGCAAGGTTTTTTATCGGTTTGGGCACACCAAAAACATTCTCGAGGCAAGCCGAAGTCGGTATTTCTTGAGTTATCTTAGATTAATTCTGACTATTTTGAGGAAGTGTATATTGGCTACGGCGTCTCAAGATGGACAAACAGTACTATTGCTTGTTTTTCAAGCGAAGGTCTTTTAAGGGAACATTCGTTCGGTTGGCCTAGCCGAGTTCAGCTAGGAGCCAGCCCAACCAAAGTATGCGGAAGGCTTAAGTCTCACCCACATTCCTTCTCCACAGTTAGTTTTGATACTGTTTCCTTCAGTGTGTTGTTGCCCTATGCTTGTGTAGACATGCATACTGTACCTTTCTCTGGCTCTGGCTGGTCATGGGGAAATTCCAGCCTTGAACCTGTGACTGTGTGTTAGATAGTAAGTACACACACACAAACTGCTCTAGTTCTTCATCCAATAAACAGAAACAGAACAGGGCCTGTCTTTAGTCGCCTGCCTTCTGAATGAATTTGAATTACAGGAGAGCTATTTCTGGGCCTCTCCAAACGCATGACCCCTCGTGTGTGTTTGTGTGTGCTTGTGTGGCCCCTACTCCTTTCAAAGCACTGCCTTTTCCACACACACACACACGGTTGAGTGTTCTCATATACCCAAGAACACTGATAGCAGAGGTATTGACAGGATACCCCTCCTTTTCCACACACTTACATATTGACCTTGAGTACATCAAAACAAATGACCCCTCTCTCAATACCTCCCTGTATCAGTATGTGTGGTACTATAAGTTTGTTAGTGAGCAGCCAAGGTGACCAGTTGTGTTACCACACCCTCACCCCTCCCTCTCATCCCTCCAGCCCTCCTTTACACCCCACCCTCTTTCCATCTCCTTCTCACCCCGGCTAAATGTTCAATATAAACTATTGACAGGAAGTCTAGCGGAAGTGGAGAATATCCCAAATACATGCAGCGCATAACACTTTCCATATCTCTCTCTCTCTCTCTCTCTCCTCTCTCTCGCTCTCTCTCTCTCTGTCTCTCTCTCTCTCTCTCGCTCTCTCTCTCTCTGTCTCTCTCTCTCTCGCTCTCTTCTCCATATCTCTCTCGCTCTCTCTCTCTCTCTCTCTCTCTCGCTCTCTTCTCCATATCTCTCTCTCTCTCCAGTGGCTGCTGCAGTGTTATTCTTCACCATCCCCCACCCCCACAGTATCCCGACCACAGAGGTGTTTGGGGCGATATGGCTGATGCTGTTACTGGGGACAGTGCACTGCCAGATCGTCTCCACACGCACCCCCAAACCCACCAGCAGCAGCAGCTCTGGCAAGAGAAGAAGGTGGGGAGAAGGGGATGGAGAGGGAGGAAGGGAGGGAGGGAGGGAGGGAGGGAGGAAGGGGGAGAGGGAGGGCGGGAGGGAGGGAGGGAGAGGGGGAGAAGGGGAGAGGGAAGAAATGGATGAATGAATGAATGAATGAGAGGGAGGGAGAGAGAGAGTGGGGTAAAGGGGGTTATTACATAGATAATGTATCCATACCTCTGTGTTGTTTTAGTGTTTCCTGTTTGATGTGCTTTCTGCTCTGAGATAGACCTGTATGACCTAGCTACTGTTTTAAAAGGCCTCTCAGTGTGACACACTACAGGTCAGTTCCCCAGTCACTGGTCAGATCGGGGGGGGTTCCATTGGACTGTGTGTGTTGAATCATGGTTCCCCCCCTCTCTTCTGGTCATGTGACCAGGGAACTGCCCCCACACACGCTTCCTGTCCCATTGTAGATTTTTTAAAGGCTGTGATTTCCTGCCAGAGCGTAGTGGCTCGTAAATGTGTGCCAGGACGCATAACGCCATTAGCCTTTTCCCAGATCTGTTGGTGCTCTTGGCAAGATGCCACAAACAGATCTGGGACCAGGCTGTAATGTCACTATAGCTAGCTAGCTATGCCCAAAACCCACTACCTTTGGCTTGCACAGTACTGACAAATTTCAGACTTCTAGAAGAAAATTGATCCACGTCATGGCGTGGCTAACAAAAACAAAGAAAACGGGTGTTTGGAAATCTACATAGTTGAGAGATTGTAAAGACAGTATAGACATTGTGAGACACAAATAGCAGCTTTAATGGACAGCATACTAGATTTTCCAGAATCTCCCCATGTGGAAGCTATCATCGGTTAAGGAAGAGACCTACTGTCTACTGTTACTGTACACCCTCATCTCATAGCGCAGCGTTGTTCACTCACTCAGACTCCAGATGCGGTCAGGAATCAACCACCAAACTACTTTCTCCTTCCTTTCTTCCCTTAACCTCAAATCTGCGTTGTTTTCTCTCTCTGAACCAAACGCTACCACTCCATTACCCTGACTGACCTTAAGTAACTTGTCCTCATGCCCACTAGATGGTTGACTCGTCAGTGTTTGAGTGGATCTGTTATCTGTTATTATATGATATTCAGTGCATTCGGAAAGCATTCAGACCCCTCCATATTTTGTTACATTGCAGCCTTATTCTAAAATTGATTTTTTTTTTTAAATGTCCCGCTCATCAATCTACAACCCATAATGACAAAGCAAAAACTGGTTTTTAGATTTTTTTTTGCAAATGTATAAAAAATAAAAACAGATATCTGTTATTATGTAAAAAGTGGAGACTGGAGACTCTCACGTCGGGAAATGGAGAAACAGTCTGATCAAAACCGGTTGTTAGCTAAGCTGCCAGTCAGACAGTTAATTACCATCCTCCTCTTGTAGGAGTAGATGAACCATTCAATCAAATCTCTCTATTTTCAGCTTGTTGTTGATGGCTCTCCAAGTCTAATCCCAGTAAATCCAATCATATTTCCAGTTATTGTATATTATGAGAACACAGTCTAATCTACCGCGTTAGTATAAATATGAATCGCTCTGACAGCTGGATATGAATCAAATGTTTTGCTTCGATCAAAACCGCTCATTCCTGACCAGATCTGATGTAACACACATTGCTGCCATTGAATCAACCGTTTTCATTCATTTTGTATCTTCCCTCTTGTGGTAAAAAGAATGAAAGGGGTATTATTTTAATGACTTCATATGATTTATTTCTTCAATCACAACAACAGTGATTCCTGTCTGGACCTCTCTCTCTAAGTACTCTGCACTTTCTTATTGATCTTTCTTGACCAAAGGCGTTTAAGGAAGGCAGCTCATTTGGATGTACATAGGGAAGGAGATGGTTCTAGCACTACTGATAACACCCGGGAAGGGGGACCACACTCCCACGGTGCCGCCACCGGCTCACCTTACAGCCTGGGCATCGCTCTCTTCAGAGATTTCTGGCATGATATCTGTAAAGCGGGGTGTGTATTTTACCCTCTCGTGAGGTTACTAAAGAACCCTATCTCTCTCTGATATAGCTGCAATATCCCTTGGATTCCACCCGGATTATGATAATGATCCATTCATAAATATCCCTCTCTATTGGATGAGAAAACTGAGTCATATACATTGTAAATATATGTTTATGAAAATCATTCTTCCCACTAAATGATAAACATTATCTGTTATTAAACGTGGTGTTATTTTAACTGGACACACACAGAGGGGATACATATTCAAATCCGTTTCAACGTGAATTTGATTATTAACTTGTCTCGACATTCAGGTTTCTCAGGGTGCCAAAGTATGTGGAAGGAGAGGTCTGTCTTTCCATCTTGGTTATCATTTTTCTGTGTGTGGAAAAAGGGATTTTGCAGCTTTGTTTTTGTAGCCGATGTTACGGCATGTTTATTTTTCTACAATTCAAGCAACGGCCAAGAGAAGCATGGAGCAAAAGATCTAGAAACATAAATACAAGTATTAGTAAAGGCTTTATAGTTGTTAAAAGGGATCTGGCTGAATATGCAAAACCATCACTGGTGAAGTTTTTGACACTTTCAATCTAAAAACGGAAAAACACTTTAGTAAAAATCCAACCTTTTCACACCAGAAATCTAATCGGCACTGTCAGTCATCTTTATTTGTCATCAGTAAACTTTATTTGAATTCAGTTTAGTAGCACCGGTAACCCATCCCATTTAGAACCTAGTTTCTCTGCTCCCATGCCATTGCTTCAATCAGTACCAACTTGATCCAAGTGATTCTGTCTTGTTTTGATTTCTGCATGCTGGATGGACGTGGACTGTCTACCTGTCCTGTCTCTCCACCTCCCCCCTTTAACCTCCCCCTCCATCTCTCCCCTCAGGTCTAAGAAGTCCAAGCTGTCCATAGACAAGTCCACAGAGACAGATAACGGCTATGTGTCTCTGGATGGAAGGATAACCAATAAGAGCAGTGAGGAGGGGCTACAGGTCCATGATGGAGGATCTCACCACTGTGACCTGCTGCCGAGGTCAGACGAGACGTGTTGGACCGGACCCCCGCCTCTCACCACACTGCTGCTGCCCCCCGTCAGCAAGGTAAACAACAAGGTAACACACACACACACACACACACACACACCACCACGCAACACACTGCTACTGCCCTCCGTCAGCAGGTAAACAAGGTAGCTAATGAACACACACACACCACCACGCAACACACTGCTACTGCCCTCCGTCAGCAGGTAAACAAGGTAGCTAATGAACACACACACACACACCACCACGCAACACACTGCTACTGCCCTCCGTCAGCAGGTAAACAAGGTAGCTAATGAACACACACACACACCACCACGCAACACACTGCTACTGCCCTCCGTCAGCAGGTAAACAAGGTAGCTAATGAACACGAACAAACACCACCACGCAACACACTGCTACTGCCCTCCGTCAGCAGGTAAACAAGGTAGCTAATGAACACGAACACACACACACACCACCACGCAACACACTGCTGCTGCCCTCCGTCAGCAGGTAAACAAGGTAGCTAATGAACACGAACACACACACACACCACCACGCAACACACTGCTGCTGCCCCCCGTCAGCAGGTAAACAAGGTAGCTAATGAACACGAACACACACACACACCACCACGCAACACACTGCTGCTGCCCCCCGTCAGCAGGTAAACAAGGTAGCTAATGAACACGAACACACACACACACCACCACGCAACACACTGCCACTGCCCTCCGTCAGCAGGTAAACAAGGTAGCTAATGAACACGAACACACACCACCACGCAACACACTGCCACTGCCCTCCGTCAGCAGGTACACACACCACCACGCAAACACTGCTACTGCCCTCCGTCAGCAGGTAAACAACAAGGTAACACACACACACACACACACCACCACGCAACACACTGCTACTGCCCTCCGTCAGCAGGTAAACAAGGTAGCTAATGAACACGAACACAACTGTCCTAAAACAGGTGAGTTTAGCCTTGTATAAATAGACTACAGTCTGGTATGAATCTGTCCATTCGGTCTTCTCAGGAGACCCAGAGCCATGGTGTGGGCGTGGAGAACATTTCTGATGAGGCGTCTAGTGAGGAGGATCCCGAAGCGTCCTACACCGCCATCCGTAGGGGTGTAGAGCGCATCAGCAGCGACTGCACGCTGCGCAACAGGAAACCACATCACTACAAGAAACACTACACCAACAACACTGAGGTGGGTGACCCCCACACCACCCAGGTTGGTCACACTCACACAGAGACACGCACAGCGACTCACACACACACTTACATACAGTACATACTGACATCATACACACACACACACACTTACCTACAGTACATACATACACATACCCACACACACACATAGACAGTTAATAGACACGCTCCCAAACGTGTGGATACACTTAGCTACTACATACACCCATACACTCACCATTACTCTCTCTCTCCTCCTCTCGCTCTCTCTCTCTCTCTCTGTAGGAGACTCCCAAGTCCGGTACCAGCTGTAGTTCTCGGTGCTCCAGCTTGCGGACCCAGGACTCCGAGAGCACCAGACATGAGTCAGAGACAGAGGACCTGCTGTGGGAGGACTTCCTGCACTGTACTGAGTGTCGCTCCTCCTGCACCAGTGAGACAGAGGGAGAGGGAGCTGCAGTCTGCCCTGCTACCAAGAAGGAGTACAGAGATGACCCCTTTCACCAGGTGGGTTAGGGGTCAAAGGTTAGGAGTTCGAGTTAGAAGTCCGGTGTTAGGGTTTGACAGAGTTAGAGGGAGCTGTAGTCTGCCCTGCTACCAAGAAGGAAAACAGAGATGACCCTTCCACCGTTTATCGGGGGTTAGAGGTCAAGGGTTAGAGAAGAGAAGGGGGGGTAAGTGTGGGACTGAGCTTGCAGTAAAATGGTTGCAACATTAATGAACAGGTGTTGGTGGTAGCGTGAATGTTCCTATTGATCTGTTTTTGTTGTGTCACTGTGTGTGTTCTGATGTAGCCATGGTAACCATGGTCATATCAACCTTGTCAATGAGGGTGATCACCCTCAAAGCCTCAGCATATAACAGTAGTTATTGTGTTGATCTAGTTGTGTCCTCTACAGGGCCACACATGGCTACACAGCTCCAACCCAGGCCTGGAGCGGGTCAGTGCCATCGTGTGGGAGGGGAACGACTGTAAGAAGGCTGACATGTCTGTCCTGGAGATCAGCGGTATGATCATGAACAGGGTGAGTAACAGCCAGGGCCTTGATACTGTTGTCAGGGTTTACATCTTGTGTGTACTGTAGCACTTTACAATGTAAGACAGGGAACACCTCGATCCCCTCCAGCACCCACCTGGGGGATTTTTATGCACTAGAATGTTAATGAATGCAGATTGGACTTGCACTTCATGATATTGGAACGCACTTATATATGCCACATTTCTCTCTAATCACTTTACATTCTCTATAACTTAGACCAATGACGTGAAAGATATAAATAATGTCTGTCTCTCTACTTCCCTCTATCTCTCCATCTCGTCCCACTTCCTGATCTCTCTACTCTTCTTCCTTCCCTTATTCTTCTCCTGTCTTCTCATCTCTCCCTCTCTATCTCTCCCTCTCCCACTCTCCTGACTCTCTCTCTCTCTCTATCTCTCCTTCCCTCTCTCTCTCCCACTCTCCTGTCTATCACTCCTTGTTCTCCTTCCGATATCTCTCCATCCCTCCTGTCTCTCCATCTCTCTCTATCTCTCCATGCTCTCCTCTCTATCTCTGCCACCTACCGTTATCTCCATTCTAATGTATCTACTTCCCTCGAGCCTGCGTTCGGCTCTCTCTCCTGACCTCCCTATGGTGCTCACCTGGTACCTCAGCTTCATGTGCCAGTCTTCTCACTCTGGCTCTATTCTGTCTCTTCCTGTCAGGTGACCTGAGAGATCATACCAGGTTTTGGGGGGTAGAATTGGGCTGACCTTTGCCGATGCTGTCATCATACAGGACTGGACCAGTGACGAACAGTCTCAACAAGAGCTCATTCGGTGGCGTTCGGTACTCCTCTGTATGGGTTGACTACAGGTAACGCCAGCTTCTGTGGGTCCTGCCATCTGGCTCTGTCGTACTTTCATGCTCACGTGCGAGAGGAATCCAAACATGTAGTGTGTTTGGGGTGAGTGATGTTGTATGTGTTTTGTGAATGTTTATGCATCTTAATGTATGGATGTATATTGGACCTGTTGAGTTGTTATACGAAGACATTATATTTCAAAAGTTTATCAACTCATGAACTGTTTGGTATGACCTGCCACCGAGTGACTGCTACTGATGGTTCTGGCCTACAACCTTCGCCATTTGGTCACCTGACGCCTCTCAGCCAATGGAGTCATGGTGGCCGTTCGAGCTTCCGTCCTGAAAGTCATGGTGATACATAAGGTACCTCACTCTGGTGCGCGCTTCTCATCTCTAGTCTTCCTGCTCGCTGCCGATGAGGTCATACATCATGTCTGTGGAGATCTGACTGTGTCTTTTGAGATTGTTTCATCTTAATATGGTGTAATATTGACAATTGATGTTTGAGTACGCAAGACAATTATTTCTAAAAGTGTTATCACGTTCAGAAGTACTACTGGTGTGTGTGTGACCTGCGTCTGCTCTTCCTCAGCTTTTGGTTCACCTACGCTCGGCACGCAGCAGGAAGTACAGAGTCAGCCTCACATCCTACTGAAGAAGTCCAGATACAGTAAGATACAGTAGCAACCTCTCCATCTAATATCAGAGGTGCGGTCCAAAAGTACTACCACTCCTTCTGTATGTTCCATACAGTAACTTCCTAGAACCTGCACTCTGTGTCCAACTGCCATCTTCTGTACGCTGAGTAGTCGGTCAGAACCAGCAAAGTCAGACACTCCTCTTATGACAGAAGTAGCGGCTCAACACCAGAACAAGTACAGCACACTATGTTTGACAGAAAGTAGAAGGCCTCAGAACCAGCAAGTACAGCAAACCTCCATCTTACTGACAGACAGTGACGGCTAGACACAGCAACAAGTACAGCAACACTCCATCTTACTGACGATACAGGTAGACAGGCTAGACACCAGCAACAAGTACAGCAACACCTCCATCTTACTGACAGAACAGTAGACAGGCTCAGACACCAGCAACAGTACAGCAACACTCCATCTTACTGACGAACAGGTAGACAGGCTCAGACACCAGCAACAAGTACAGCACACCTCCATCTTACTGACAGAACAGGTAGACGCTCAGACACCAGCAACAGTACAGCAACACCTCCACTTATGACAGAACAGGTAGACGGCTCAGAAAAGAAGTACAAGCAACACCTCCATCTTACTGACAGAACAGTAGTGACGCTCAGAGACCCAGCAAGAAGTACAGCAACACCCTCCATCTTACTGACAGAACAGTAGACAGGCTCAGACACCAGCAACAAGTACAGCAACACCTCCATCTTACTGACAGAACAGTAGACAGGCTCAGACAACCAGCAACCAATTACAGCAAGCAACCCTCCATCTTACTGACGAACAGGTAGACAGGCTCAGACACAGCAACAAGTACAAGCAACACCCTCCATCTTACTGACAGAACAGGTAGACGGCTCAGACACCAGCAACAAGTACAGCAACACCTCCATCTTACTGACAGAACAGGTAGACAGGCTCAGACACCAGCAACAAGTACAGCAACACCTCCATCTTACTGACAGAACAGGTAGACAGGCTCAGACACCAGCAACAAGTACAGCAACACCTCCATCTTACTGACAGAACAGGTAGACAGGCTCAGACACCAGCAACAAGTACAGCAACACCTCCATCTTACTGACAGAACAGGTAGACAGGCTCAGACACCAGCAACAAGTACAGCAACACCTCCATCTTACTGACAGAACAGGTAGACAGGCTCAGACACCAGCAACAAGTACAGCAACACCTCCATCTTACTGACAGAACAGGTAGACAGGCTCAGACACCAGCAACAAGTACAGCAACACCTCCATCTTACTGACAGAACAGGTAGACAGGCTCAGACACCAGCAACAAGTACAGCAACACCTCCATCTTACTGACAGAACAGGTAGACAGGCTCAGACACCAGCAACAAGTACAGCAACACCTCCATCTTACTGACAGAACAGGTAGACAGGCTCAGACACCAGCAACAAGTACAGCAACACCTCCATCTTACTGACAGAACAGGTAGACAGGCTCAGACACCAGCAACAAGTACAGCAACACCTCCATCTTACTGACAGAACAGGTAGACAGGCTCAGACACCAGCAACAAGTACAGCAACACCTCCATCTTACTGACAGAACAGGTAGACAGGCTCAGACACCAGCAACAAGTACAGCAACACCTCCATCTTACTGACAGAACAGGTAGACAGGCTCAGACACCAGCAACAAGTACAGCAACACCTCCATCTTACTGACCAGAACAGGTAGACAGGCTCAGAGACCAGCAAACAAGTACAGCAACACCTCCATCTTACTGACAGAACAGGTAGACAGGCTCAGAGACCAGCAACAAGTACAGCAACACCTCCATCTTACTGACAGAACAGGTAGACAGGCTCAGACACCAGCAACAAGTACAGCAACACCTCCATCTTACTGACAGAACAGGTAGACAGGCTCAGACACCAGCAACAAGTACAGCAACACCTCCATCTTACTGACAGAACAGGTAGACAGGCAGGGAGGCACACACACACACAGAACCGGTATAGTTGTAGCAAGACATTGGAATTTGACTTTGAGTTCGCCAATTAATACTGAGGAAGAACTAGCAGATGCACCACACTTGCTAACTTGTGTAGTTACACAGGAACACCCACATTTAAGTGACAGGACATGATAAACGAAAGGTTCACCCATTTTGAATGTTATATATTTTTTTGTGCATCTCTGAGTGATGTTCTACCGATTCCCTGGGTCATGTTATGTTTTCATGTGTATCTGAGTTATTGGCGTTAAAGCAGGCAGAAAATAGTCCGGAAAAACGTATCACTGTGATAAAGTCGCTGTCACTACACTGGAAGTTAATAGGAATACTACTTTTAGATCGCGAAAACTTATATCATACATGTCAGATTTCAATACTGGCCGATGTCTTAACTCGGGAGGATGTCTTCTCTCGAATGAGCCATTGATAATATTTTTGCTATATTCCTACCTCGAGAACGTTGTAATTTAACGGAAGGTCTAGCACATCTTCCCTATTTGTCTGCCTCTTTAGTCCAGGGTGCGTTGTATGGTGCGGTAACGCCCCACCCAGTAGACTGTCGACCAATCGCGTTCACGTTGTCATGCTGCGGAACGTGGTTGCTAAAGCTAATCGCCACGCAATCCCTTCTCAAAGTCCGCGTATATGTCGGGAAACGTACCTATTTTCCTCGAAAGTACTTAATGTCACGATTCCAAAGCTATACGATATTCCAGATATCACGTTAATTATCTCACATATTGGAAAATATTTGTAATGTTGTACTTCTTGTTGACGTAATTCGTGCTGATGTGTTTTTGAGCTAGCGCCCAATAGACTCCCATTCCCTCCTGAAGGAGAGCGTTCGGTGTCCTAGAATCACCCATAATGCATCGCGCGGCCCATTGAGGTAGCACGGGCAACGTTTCCCATCTCCTCAAAAGTATATCTGCCGTTACGAATGTCAGATTCCGTCTGCAGGTTGAACATGGTGAGATTGTAAGCGATTTCACAGCTAACTAGCTACTTTACATGCTGATATTGTCTTTGGTATTATTGTGTGTAGCTATGTTTGCTTGCTAGCTAGCTAGCTAGCTAGCCAGCCAGCCCATAGAGAGAGCATTGCATTGTGGATTTTGTAGTCGATTTGAGCTGCAACAGATTTCCACAACGATTTTCCATGTTGCTACCAACAAAATAGTGTTCTCACATATTAGTGTTATTTAACACTGTAAATTAAAGGAATTAGTGGTTTGGGGTGGATTTTCCATTTTGTTGACCAGCTGTTTTCACCAGATCAATCTGTACCTGAAGATGGAGAAGAAACCAAACAAGAAGGAGGATCTGACATTAGTCAACAACGTACTGAAGCTGGCCACCAAACTATTGAAGGTACGGCAAGCTCCATCTCTCTATTCTCTCTCTCTCTCTCTCTCTCTCTCTCTCGTCCGTCTTCCTCTCTCTTCCACTCTCTCTCTCTCTATTATTACCTCTTTATCATCTCCTTTCATTAATCTCTCTCTCCCTCCATCTCCTCCCCCCTCCCCAGGAGTTGGATGCTCCTTTCAGGCTGTATGGTCTGACGATGAACCCGCTGCTCTACAACATCACCCAGGTGGTCATCCTGTCTGCTGTGTCTGGGGTCATCAGTGATCTACTGGGCTTCAACCTGAAGGTAACACACAGGAGTGTGTGTGTGTGTTTGAGACTGTGTGTCCGTGCATGCGTGTAGTACTACTACTTATGCACCAGTTTATTTTAAATAAAATGGAGTTGATTTGTTGAGTGTGTAGATATCAGTATGAAGGAAGAACTTACCATACTTTTCTGTCCTCAGCTCTGGAAGATCAAATCATGACAGTAAGCTGATCAGGACACAGCTGGCTCTCTGGAAGATATTCTCTCACCACACGAGGGCGTTGTTCTCCTTTCGCTCACTGACTGACTGGGCTTCCCTGTATCTATGGACTGACACACAGCCCTGTTCATATCAGAGTGCTTACATTTCACTTGTGCAATTCAAGATATATTTATTTTACCCTTTCAGTATTTTAGTTTTTTTCTTCATATTTTGTTTTAGAAAAAACGTTACGAAATGTTTTAATTGTTCAAAAAGTTATTTTAAGCTATACAGGTTTTGTGTTCTCAGAGGGATGGGATCGAAAAACAGCAAGATGACAATTCAGTTAAAAAGACAATAAAATAGGTAAAAGAGTTCCATCACTTCAGACTAGTTAGTACAATGCACATTATAATGCAGCTCTTTAGTTTCACGACTGTGACCCACCCACACACACACAGTCATTTCACTGTGAGAACTGCAACGAGCAGTTGTTTCAGATCATAGACGGACTGTAATAATAATCATGTGCTTTAAAGCCTACATACATACCCACAGGTTTTACTTCCTGGTAAATTCAATGTAGGCTTTTTTTTTTTGCTTTTGACATCAACAACGGTATACCAAAGTTCAAGAATAGATGAACAATGTTTCTATGTGTTTGGAGTTTATAATGATAAGCTAAGTGACAGCTGTTGTGGATAGACAGAGGCAGGATCAGAACACATCAGAGACCATTGGTGAGAAAATAGGTGAGGTACTGTACTGGCTGGATGGGAGGTGTACTGGCTGGATGGGAGGTACAGTACTGGCTGGATGGGAGGTACAGTACTGGCTGGATGGGAGGTGTACTGGCTGGATGGGAGGTGTACTGGCTGGATGGGAGGTACAGTATGTACTGGCTGGATGGGAGGTTGGAGTGTACTGGCTGGATGGGAGGTACTGTACTGGCTGGATGGGAGGTACAGTACGTACTGGCTGGATGGGAGGTACAGTACTGGCTGGATGGGAGGGTACTGTACTGGCTGGATGGGAGGTACAGTACTGGCTGGATGGGAGGTACAGTACTGGCTGGATGGGAGGTACAGTACTGGCTGGATGGGAATATCCAAACCTAACCAACTGCTGTATATCAAATACAGACATTTAATTGTATTTGATCCAGGCCTGCTAGCCAAAACTAAACGGTGTGTGACTGACAACTACATGAACGTTGTTAACTATGTTTTTTTTTTTTTTGGGGGGGGGGGGTTTTGTTGTCATTGAGAGTGTGTAATGGAAATGTGTTTCTTGCATACTCCAAGTCCCCCTGAGACCTTGAGGGAGTGGGGTCACAGCTTTTTATGGTGATGCCATTCAGTATTGGCTTCTGTACTCCCAAGCCTATTTTCTAAACCAGACACTGAGTGATGTGTGCAGTCAGGTTCACTATTACTATTCAGGCATGTAAGCCATCGTCACAACCCAGTCAAAACGTTGCTTTTTCTGACCTTCCCTTTTTACTATTTTACATTGCATGGCTTTAATTTGAGTTATTTCAATGGTTGGACTGTATTTCAAGCAATAACTCGTAGCGCTACACAGACTGAAAGTGTTTGTATTACATTTAGAACAAAGAGGTCCTAGGTCTTAGTCGCTGTACACACTCGATGTTCGCCGCTACAGTTTGGAATGCCTGACAATGTGCACTTTAAAGTAGTGTAAATCTAAAATGTTACATGTTTCAATGTAGTTGTTCTTTTTGGCGTGGCTCAGTCTGTGTGAATATGACCATAGTGCTTTTTATTTGCTGGAAAATACTGTATTATTAACACGCAAAAAAAAACATTTTTTTTTTTGATGTTGCTTCTTTTTCTTTCTCTGGCATTGGGCTTTTTTTCTTTCTTTTTGTTGTAAAGATGGTTACTCATTTTTTGTAGTTGTGAGAGAAAAGAAACAATTTGCTGTTACTTGAGTCTGAAAAATTTATTTAGAAAATTACTCTGAACGTGTCCGAAATAGCACCCTAATCCCTAGTGCACTACTTTTGACCAGAACCCTGGTCAAAAGTAGTGCACTATATAGGGAATAGGGTGGCATTTCAGACGCACATTTGTTTGCGTTGTGATTCCGTTTTCAAAGGAAGTCTGCATATTTATGTTGAAGGAAAAAAAAACTACTTTTTGTGAGCTGGTCTGTTTTATCAGTTCTAGGTGTTTATAAGAAAAATAAAAATGGACATTGTTGTGTCACAGACTCAACTTTTAGTTTCTTCCTCCATACTGCATTTCATCGTTGTCAAACCATACATACATACATCATATGAGCAAAACAACAGTTTAGATTTCATCATGGCTGCATACCAATACCTGTTCCCTATATAGTGCACTACTTTTGACCAGACCTCTATGGGTCCTGTTAAAAAGTAGTGCACTACGTAAGGAATAAGGTGCCATTTGGGATGCAAACCCATAATTCATTCCTTGCAGAACACTTTCTTAACTTAAAACAGGTGGGGACCCCAAAGACCCAGACCCCACAGACCCACAGAGATCCAGACTTCCACCACCTCCCACCGCTGTCAGGCTGAGCTCCTGCTCCAGGATTATATGCCCGGCTGGGCCGCGGATGTCCAGGAGAACTGTGGTGATGGTCGGTCTTGGTTGCGCCTTCTTCCAGACAGGAAGTCATCTCGCATATGGAATGGCGGCGGATGCCCATGCTGCTCACGGAGCCTGTCTCGGCATCATACTCCACCACAGGTGTCAACATGGGCACATTGTAGGACTTGGAGCGGACCACCAGGTTCTTTGAGGGGGCGTCGCCTGGCTTGAGCCACCGCCGCTGCAGACGTTTTTCTGGAGAGGGGATGGGAGGAGGGTAGAAGAGAGATGAGTGAAGGATAGAAAGAAGTGGTGAGATGCAGGGAGAAGAGAGGGAGGGAGAGGTGAAAACAAGACAGAAGTTCCAAACTAACAACAGATCAGTATTACACAGGAAACTAACAACAGATCAGTATTATACAGGAAACGAACAACACATCAGTCATTAACAACAGAACCTACCACACATCAGTATTACACAGGAAACTAACAACAGATCAGTATTATACAGGAAACTAACAACACATCAGTATTACACAGGAACTAACAACACATCAGTATTACACAGGAAACTAACAACACATCAGTATTACACAGGAAACTAACAACACATCAGTATTACACAGGAAACTAACAACACATCAGTATTACACAGGAAACTAACAACACATCAGTATTACACAGGAAACTAACAACACATCAGTATTACACAGGAAACTAACAACACATCAGTATTACAAACAGGAAACTAACAACACATCAGTATTACCGGAAAATCAAACAACACATCCTAATTACTACACAGGAAACTAACAACACATCAGTATTACACAGGAAACTAACAACACATCAGTTGAACAGCTGTGAATGGAGAGTACAAATCATGCATGATGAAATCTAAATCATTTAGCTGTATGAGTATTAGTCTAACTACCCAGTACGCAGGAGGAGTAGTGCATTGAGGATCCGTCGTTGGAGTAGAGGCCGTGGGTTCCCAGGTAGGGAGACACCACCTTCTGAACCAAAGCTTCCAGACGCAGGTAGTCCTCAGTCACTCCTTTAGACTCATGGCAAAAACCCGGGAAACACAATACACACCTCACGTTGTTGTCCTCAGTCACTTCCTTTAGACTGATGGACGCACCTTGGAACAACACACACACATCACAGTTATCCTCAGTCCTCCTTGGCACTCAGGACAAGACCAACCCTGGAACACATACACACATCACAGTTAGTCCTCAGTCACTCCTTTAGACTCATGGACACCCTGGAACACATACACACATCACAGTTAGTCCTCAGTCACTCCTTTAGACTGATGGACACCTTGGAACACACACACATCACAGTTAGTCCTCAGTCACTCCTTTAGACTCATGGACACCCTGGAACACATACACACATCACAGTTAGTCCTCAGTCACTCCTTTAGACTCATGGACCAACCTGAAACACATAACACCAAACATCATTTAGTCCTCAGCACGCCTTTAGACTGATGGACAACTTGGAACACAATTACACACATCACAGTTAGTCCTCAGTCACGTCCTTTAACTCATGGACAACCCTGAACAGAACATAGAAAATCCCGGAAGGGGGGGAAGGGGGCAAGCGGGGAGGGGCGAGGGGATGGGGGGGGGCGTAAGAGACGGCGAACAGGTGGCACCCCGGCTGGACACCGGGGGGAAGTCTCCCGCCCCTCGCAGCGCCCCCCCGGCGCGCGGCAGCTGCGCGGTGCCATACCCGCAACGAGGGGCCGGTGGCGTGGGCGCGGCTATGTTCCCGCCCCCCCCGCCGGAGCCCTCCCCAGGGCGGCGCACGGGCTGGGCGAGCTGTGGGGGTGGGGGAATTGGGCCGATGCGTGGGGGGGGAGGGGCGGCTTGCGGGCCGTGGGGCGGCGAAGCGTGCGGAGGTGGGGTGGGGGGCGGGGGGGAAGAGGGAAGGGGCCGAGGGCAGTGCTCGGGTGGGGGGGGCAATGGGGGGGGGGTCGGGGAGGCGTCCGGGAGGGTGGGGGTGGGGGTGGGGGTGGCACGGGGGCGAGTGTCCGTGCGGGCACCCTGCCGCGGCCCGGCTGGCCGAGGATGGAGCGGGGGGAATGACGGGGACTCGCAGGGCTCCGTGAGGGCGCCACCTCCGGACGCCGTGGGTCAGACGAGGCCCGGCCACCGCGTCGGAGGGCCCGGCGGGGGGTCGGTGGCCAGGCGCCGGGTGGTGCTCCACAAGAATTTCAGTTCGGGCATCGTCGGGGCCAGCGGACATGGCCGCGCGGGTCCGCCGATCCGACGGACGGGAAGGGCCAAGGCCCGGGGGGGGCCCCGGGAGGATCACCAGGGAGTCTCCCGAGCGACGGGTGTTGGCGCCCGGGGGGGGTCGGCGGTGGAGCGGCCGCCGCGGAGGGGGGGGGGGGGAGAGGGCCCGGGTGGCCGGGGCGCAAAGCGGGGGGGGGGGGGGGGGGGAGAGGGGCGCGCGCGTCGTAATGCCGCCTGCGGGACTGACGGGGCCGGCGGGGCCCCCGTCCGGCCGGCCGAGCCTGGGCGCCCGGGGGGCAGCTACGAAAGGAGGGGGGGCGATGGGGTCGGGGAGGCGTAGTCCGAGGCGGGGGTGCTGGGGAGCCCGGTTGCCTCCGGGGGATCGCGGGGGGGGGGGTGAGCGGGGAGGACCCCCCGGGGGGGGGGGCTGGTTGCTGTCGCGGCCGAGGGGGTGACCAGGCGGGCGCCCCCCACTCTCGAAATGCGTGGTCGGATCGCGCTGAGCGGGGGGCAAGGGGGTCTGGGGCCCACGGCAGGGGGGGGGTACCCGTGCGATCAGCTCCGGGCCGAGGGCCGCGGCCAGGGGGAGGTGGCGAGCCGGTGCGGGGGACAGCGGGGGCTCCGGCCGGGGGGGGGGGGCCTGTCGGGTGGGCCGTACGGCTGGGAACGTAGCCTGGGAGCACGGGCGGGACGTCTTGGGCGGACCCATTAGGGACAAGGGGGTATGTGAGGGCGGGAGGACGGCGCGTCGCGGGGGTAGGAGGGAAAAGGCGGTAAAGGGGCGTGCGGAGAAAAGAGGGACCGGGCGCCCCACCCCAGAGCTTAACCCCCTGACACAGTCCGTCTAAGCCCTACGGGAGAAAAGCAGAACGCGACGGGCTGGAGGGGGGCGGCTTCCGGGATGGTGGGCTGGGTGAGGGCATGCGACTGGAAACCACCGGGGCACGAGGCGCGGGACGGGTTTACGGGGCGGTGTCCCAACAGGCAGCCCGAGCAGGGGGCGGGACATCGCCCGAGCTCAGAGAGGGCCGCCTCCCGGCCAGGTGGGGCCCGATGACGGCGCGGAGGGGACGGTAGGCACTGTGACCCCTCGCGCAGCCCGACCCGCAGCGCTGAACGGGGCGGTTGGTGTTGTTACACCAGGCCCCCAAACGGGAAGTGCGGGTGAGTGCACGGCGGGGCTGGGGTTCGGGGTGTGGGGGGGGTCGCTCGGGTGTGGGTCGGCCCTCATAGGTGACGAGAGCTGCGAGAGCAAATCCAACATGGGCGGCCGGGGGGGGAGCCGGGCCCAGAGGCTAGATTGTGTTGGTGCGTCGCGCAGAGGCCTGTTTCTCGGGTCCCACGGAGGGGCGTGGTGTACGCCAAGAAAGGGGGCGCGCTACCCGATTCCTCCTCGGTCTCCCACCCACCCTCTCCCTACCCCGGACCCCCCCTCCCCCTCTCCCCGGCCCCCGGTCCCCTCCCCGCCCCCCGTACCCGCCTTCCCGCGCCCTCCTTCTCCATCTCCCCCCCCCCAGCCGCCCCGTCCCTCCCCCAATCCCCCCCCCTCCCCCCCATCCCTCCCCCTCGGGTCGCCGCCCTCCTCCTCCCTCCCCCATCCCCAGTCCCTTCGCCCTCACCGCACCGGGCTCGCTCCTGGCGGCTCCCGGCACCGGGCCCCTCCCGTCCCTCCCTGACTCCCCCCGCTCCCCCCTTCCCCGGCACATCACAGTTAGTCCTCAGTCACTCCTTTAGACTCATGACAACCACCCTGAACCATACACCCATCACAGTTAGTCCCTCTCGTCCAAACTCCTTTAGACTTATGGACACTTTGAAACAACATACACACATCAAGTGAGTCCTCAAGTCACTCCTTTAGACTCATGCCACCCTGGCACACAACACACATCACAGTTCGTCCTCAGTCACTCCTTTTAGACTCATGACAAACCCTGGAACCACTAACCACATCACAGTTAGTCCTTCAGTCACTCCTTTCATACTCATGGACACCGCTGGACACCATACACAGCTCACAGTAGTCCCTCAGTCACTCCTTTAACTGTATTGACAAACCCTTGGAACCCACACACATCCAACAGGTAGTCCCCTCAGTCACTCCTTAGACTCAATGGACAACCTTGGAAAAACAAAGACACACACACACACCATGTCTGAGAGAGATCCCTAACTATGTCAAAGGAAGCCGTACTGTATGTCAGAGTAAGAGCCACTCAACTAACTGTATGTCAGAGGAGACCAGTAAACTAACTGTATGTCTGAGTTAGGAGCCAGTAACTGTATTCAGAGGAGACCCGTAATCTAACTGTATTTCAGAGGAGAGCCATTAACTAAACTGTATGTCAGAGAGATCCAGTACTTAAGTCAAGTAGATCCATAACTTGTATGTCAGAGAGAGGCCAGTAACTAACTGTATGTCAAGGATATCCAGTAACTGTAATGTCAGAGTAGAGCCAGTAACTAACTGTATGTCAGAGGAGATCCAGTAACTGTAGTCAGAGGAGACTCCAGAAAACGAACTGTAATGCCTGAGGAGCCAGTAACTAACTGTACTTCCAGAGGAGATCCATACTGTGTCCAGAAGGAGTCCCGTACTAACTGTAATGTCTGAGGATAGCCGTACTAACTGTATTCTGAGGAGATCCGTAAACTAAAACTGTATGTCAGAGGAGAGCCAGTAACTAACTGTATGTCAGAGGAGATCCAGTAACTGTATGTCTGAGGAGATCCAGTAACTGTATGTCAGAGGAGATCCAGTAACTGTATGTCAGAGGAGATCCAGTTACTAACTGTATGTCAGAGGAGATCCAGTAACTAACTGTATGTCAGAGAGATCCAGTAACTAACTGTATGTCAGAGGAGATCCAGTAACCCTAACTGTTATCAGAGGGATCCAGTAAACTGTATGGGTCCAGAGGTATCCAGTAACTAAAACTGTATGTCTGAGGAGAGCCAGTAACTAACTGTATGTCTGAGGAGATCCAGTAACTAAACTGTATTTCAATGAAGAAGCCATTAAACTACTGTATGTCAAGGAGATCCAGTAACTGTTATGTCCGAGGAGATCCGTACTGTATGTCAGAGGAGAGCCAGTACTACTGTATGTCAGAGGAGATCCAGTAACTGTATGTCAGAGGAGAGCCAGTACTGTATCCTGAGGAGATCCAGTACTGTAATGTCAGAGGATATCGCAGTACACTTGTATGTCGAGGAGATCCAGTAACTGTATGTCAGAGGAGATCCAGTAACTAACTGTATGTCAGAGGAGATCCAGTAACTAACGTATGTCAGAGGAGATCCAGTAACTAACTGTATGTCAGAGGAGATCCAGTAACTAACTGTATATCAGAGGAGATCCATTAACTACTGTATGTCAGAGGAGAGCCAGTAACTAACTGTATGTCTGAGGAGATCCAGTAACTGTATGTGAGAGGAGATCCAGTAACTGTATGTCAGAGGAGAGCCAGTAACTGTATTCAGGAGATCAGTAACTGTATGTCGAGGAGATCCAGAACTGTATCAGAGGAGGAGCCAGTAACCTACTGTATGTCCAGAGGAGATCCAGTAAACTGTAATGTCGAGGAGAGCCAGTAACTGTAGTCTGAGGAAACCAGTTAACTGTATGTCAGAGGAGATTCAGTAACTGTATGTCAGAGGAGATCCAGTAACTGTTTGGTCAGAGAGATCGTAACTAACTGTATGTCCAGAGGAGATCAGTAAACTACTGTATATCAGAGGAGTCCAGTAACTGTAGTCAAGGAGACCAGTACTCACTGTATGTCAGAGGGACATCCAGTAACTAACTGTGATATCAGAAGAGAATTCCAGTAACTGTATGTGAGAGGAGATCCGTACCTGTATTTGAGAGGAATCCAGTAACTGTATGTCAAGATGAGATCGCAGTAACTGTATTCAGAGGAGATCAGTAACTGTATGTCAGAGGAGAGCCACTAACTAACTGTATATCAGAGGAGATCCAGTAACTGTATGTGAGAGGAGATCCAGTAACTGTATGTCTGAGGAGAGCCAGTAACTGTATGTCAGAGGAGAGCCAGTAACTAACTGTATATCAGAGGAGATCCAGTAACT